TAGCAATTTTGAGATCGCCACAGATAAACAAATGAAATTATATCGTCAAACTAGTTTATTTTCCTACCTTATAAGTAAATATTTATCCTTTTTGAATTTTAATAATTCAATCGAATAATAACGTAATCATATTAAAAGTATAACCATAAAATCATTGAAATTTTCAAATATTAAAATAATAAAATGATTTTAATCGCGTGTCTTTGTATCTTTTACAAAGTTTAAGTTGCGAGGATAAAATATATAATAAGTATAATAAGTGAGTTTTTATACACAATAAAAAAATATAAATAAATACATTATATGATACGTTAATTGACCGCATGATTCGATTTTCACCTTGATGAGATTGTAAAAAGTATTGAATTATACACATATAAATCTGTATAATTTAACTATACTCGCGTATGCAGGCGTTCGCCTTTACGAATAATAAAGAACCATTGGATTATATTCTTCGCCCGCGATGTAATGTAATGATTTCATGGGGGAGACCTTAACCTTGGCCGATATGAGTGGTCAATATAATCATTGTATAATTTTGGTAGCCTCAATCTACTTAAATAACTTATCTTAAAATCCATAAATATTAATAATTATAGATTATAAAAATATTATAAAAATTATAAAAATATTTATCCTTTTTAAATATAAATATATTTATACATGTTTATATTTGCCAATCTTTAACGTAGATTATTACAATTATTACATATATTATAACTACAGTTATACTTGTATTAAAGTCAACTTTCCTCGTATATGCATTTTCAGGCAGGAAAATTCTCAAAATGATATCAATTGAAATAAAATTAAATTTAGAGTACAGTTGTATTTTTTAACGTTAAAGACATCCGCGAATATCTCTCTCTCTCTCTTTCCTTATAAAATATCTTACCTGTGCAATGTTCACGTACCATTAGCGGCATATCAACGTTTTAATAATTATAATATATATATCTTCGATAAATATAACCTTACACAAAAGTACATAAACATGCATGCGGATGGGTTAAGGTCTTTTCGGATAGCCATAAACTTATGTACTTGACCGACTATTCTAATTATGTCTTCTCCATTGCGTGTCTGATACACGACGATTGTTTTTGTACATTTTTCTGAAGTTTGTGACAAGCGATTATGGCAATAAATAAGATCCTAAATTACTACCAACTAGAATTTTTATGATTTTTATGATTCTGCATTCGCAAACATGATAATGTCACAGACTACAAGAAGAATTTATCAACGATAACATTATCAAAAGCGACATCTTCTAAATGTCCTAAAAATGTTCATCAAAACGTTCTCCAAACGTATACCATAATATATTTATTACAATTCAAAGAAAATTTTAAAAAGAAAAATAAATTTCAAAAACTCCATTTGTTTGCGAATCCACTACTGTCAGAGATTGCATATGATAATTTCTAATGTATAATGTATAATTAATTATAATTATCGTTGATAAATTTGATTGAAATTGATTTATTAAATTTGATAAACTAATAAATAAACTTAATAAACTAAATCTATCAAATTTGATAAACATTAATAAACTAAATCTATCAAATTTGAAAGAATAGGTTAAACAAGATATTTATATTCTCATCTGCATATTATTTACGATTATTATTCTGATAATTTTTATCAATTAGAAGCTCTTTAGAAGCATACATAAAACTTCAAGAATTGACTAATTAATTGACTATCTATATTTTCCGTTAAATTATAAATATGCACATAAACACGGCCATTCTTTTACGCTGAATTCTAAATTAATTTAATATAACGAAGAAAATTTAAATGCATTATAAATGTCTAAAAAATATTGTCATATATTTTTAAATATTTTTAAAAAAATGCTCATATTTATGTACATATTTATAATATAATGGAAAATATGGATAATCAATTAATTAGTCAATTCCTGAAGTTCCATGTATGCTTCTACAACCTGTAATATTTCTGTAATATTCCTAATGAAATGCAGTTAATTACGCAGTTAATTACGTTTATATTTGAATTTAGATATTCACATTCTCTTTATAATAATACAATTTTATAGTCTTTATTTCTTTAGAAAAATTAATTCATCTTGCACTGCAAAATTATCGTAGGATAAAATTGTTAATAAATGTTTGATAAAAAAAATTCGAATTGAAATTTATACTTCATATTTAAATGCCTTTATACAGTAAAAGTAATATATAAATGGATTTTCCCGATTATTTCTTCTTAATTATCTTCGTAATAAAGATATGTTAGAAAACACGGAAAATCCAGTTTGAATTGTTATTTTTCTCAACTAGTGTCATCAACGTAACTTTTACGTGTACAAAAATTACCTAGCGTCAATACAATCAGCGGACAGCTTAATATCTGCTGAATATGACGTCATCTCTAATATACTTGACAGATGCAATTTGTGACATTGACTAATCAGGCAACCATTATGACAACTTAATATCATTCTTCTCAGTTATTATTGTCATGCATGATGCAAGATGTCATATAATTTATATTATATGTTACAGATACTGGTAATGAAAATTTTTGTATATTACAAATGAACATAAATTAAATATACACATACGTTATATATTTAAAATTTATATTCATTTGTAATATATATAAAAATTTACCATTATCATTATTCTCTGTGTAATATATATATATATATATATATATATATATATAATATAAATTGTGACATATTGTGTATCATGCATGACAATAATAATTAAGAGAAAAGAGTGGTATAAAGTTATATGCATAATATTTGTCTGATTAAAATTACACACACACACACACACACACACGTGCGCGTGCGCGTGTGTGTGTACGTAATATTAATTTTTTAATAATTGTAATATTAATATATAATAAGAAAATAATGTTTGGTTTGTAATAAGAATATAATGTATTGAAAATTATTTGTACTGCAATCGGAAAAATTAATTTTCCCATTTAATTTTCAATAATTAATCAATATTCATGTATTAGTATTTTATTCCATAAAAGAAAGTATCGCACATCATAATCACTTTAAAAAATATATGATATACATTGTAAATGCTTCGCCTTGCAATATCGATTGACAATTGTATTAAAAGAGAAAGAAAAAAAAGATTACTATTGATACTAATTGATACATCATTGATACCAATTAATTTCATAAAAATTTCATATCCATTATTGTTGCCCATGGGATTTTATAGAATGCGTAATTTTTATATTAAAAAAATGTAAAATATTATATTAAATAAAATATTTTTATATAATATATTTATATTAGATTGATTATTGTCACATTACACAAAAAAAATCAAGTTTCACTGATGTAACAATAAATTATATTTTCACGCAGCAGATACGATAATATGAACACATATCAATTGGTGATTTTATCACGACCGATGCGTTTTTCCACGTTCGAAGTTACTGTTCCCAGCCACAAAAATATGGTATTATCGAGGAAAGAAGATGAACTACGATTATATAACGTAGCCATTTTTAGATCGCATATATAAATGTAAAAAATCAAAAATGTTTTTAAAATGATTTGCTATTATAAACAAAAAATCAGAGAAAATATAGAGAAAATGATTTACAGAAAAAGTTTAAAAATTTTTAAACTTCTCTCAATTATTTGATAATTTTAAGAGATATCAATATTGCGAATCTTGACGAAATAAATATGTATTATCTTAAAAATAAATGTTTCAAATAAAATGCATCATTAAAATTGCAGAATGAATAATATGAAATAATTTATATTATTTGAAAAGGAAAGAGGAACATGTATATTATAAAACATGACATACGTTGGAAAATACAAAGAATACTGATTGATAATATATTGATAATATATATTGATAATATATTGATGATAAAATGTATAAATTGTAGATAATATATATGTACCCAGTACATAACAATCATAAATTATATCTCAATTTTTATTTTAAATTTGTATTATTATATCATGTTTTTTTGCGAAATTGAAAAGCAACATTAAATTTATCATATTCGAACAATTATTGAAATAATATTATTATTATCTTTATATTTATGTATCTTTGTAAAAATAAAATTCAATATATTATTTTTAAAAAACAAAATAAAATCGTAAAAGAAATAAATTTTTACAAAGATAGACAAATATAAAGATATTTACAGAAATATATTTTTAATATTTTTAAATATGGCAGAAAAACTTACGCGCATTCGACGATATTGTTTGTTCATCAGTGATACAATAATCTCTCAGGCACAGCTACGCATCACATACCTCATTATCCAAATTGCAGCAATATTTTGGTTGCACGAAGATCCTCCTTGCCACCTGTATAAGATATCAATATTAGTAATTTTGCGTATATACATATATTACATTTCGTCGTGTTTAGTAAAGGGAGACAATTTTAATTAGTTATCGAGAAAAAAAGGAAAAATTCATTCTTTGAAGAAAAGGAAAAACTTATTCTTTACATATCATACGATTTTATATTAATAATTTCTAACAACAATTGACTATCAGATTTTTCTGCAAATAGAAACTTATCGATCTATGCCAATAATTGTCACGATATACTTGTTTAATTCAGAATATTTATACATTAATTCCGTTACTTTTGCACAATAATGGATTTATTTATCGTTCTTCATCGTCACTTTATTCAAATTTTATATCAAATTTCTTTCTTCCCCCCTCCCCTCTTAACAATAGGATTATAGTATATGCAAAATTGCTTACCATAATTGTATAAAGAATTTTCTTCGCTTTTATATTGGATATAATATATCTAAATTTAAAAAACACAAATTGGCTTCGAAACAAATACACGACTCTCTCTTATATACATCACTTTAAAATAATCGAAAGAACCCCAATATCACGATATATATATATATAGATGTGCGCATGCGTAAACTCGCAAGGTTCCCTTCATGCTGCATTTTCAATGCAATGCATCTTGGACATTTCTTCGGCAGCCAATGAAAAGAGAGAATCAACGCGAACAATTTTCTCAGACCCCGCAAATAAAGATCAATTGAAAGTTTTTCTGCTATAGGTGACGCTGTCGTCTATCTCATATTATTCATCGATATAAAATATTATCTAACTTCCAAATAATTAACAGCAAAAATGTCGGCGTGGAGACAAGCAGGATTAAAGTAAGAAAATTAATTATCGTCCTCGTACTTTATATTTCTTTCTTCACATGTCAAGCATGTAAAATTTTTTCATCAAAAAATATTATGTAACCAAATTCTCATCTGCTTGTTAATAATTGTGGAGTTTATAAAATGTTATTTGTGAATAAGTATGGATAATAAAAATCGAAAATGTATATATAAATCTTTTTCTCTTTTATTATAGTTACATTAACTACTCTCAGATTGCAGCAAGGTTAGTTAGACAAGCTTTAAAAGCTGACTTGAAAGCAGAAGCTGCCAAGCGTGATGAAGTCAATGTAAAGTTTACTCAATGGAAGGATGGAAAAGCTATTAGTATGTATATTTTCATTATTATAATTCTGTTCTATTATACTTATTCATTTCATATTCATCAGTCTCTTTTTTGTTTTTTCTTCTGTAGAATGTATTCTTCATGTGATTATAGTTTTGTTATATATTACAATATATTTTTTACAGCTGAAAAGATATAATCACAATGATTAGTAAGTCTATGATTTGTGTGATATCTTTAAAAATGTTTGTCATTTTAATACCTTTAATACCTTTATTAATATACTATTATCTTTTAATACAAGTGTGACTTAATTATCACTTAACTGTGACTTAAAAAATACTGCAACTTTTGACTTAAAAAATATTTATATTTTAACCCGTTTGCATAATTGACAGTTGTTTTTGTATTCTCTTCTTGTTACAGAAATTTAATAATTTTTCAATATTGTTTTGCAGTTGCATGTTGCAATTTCAAGCAATATTATATTTTGGCAATGAAACAACCAATATATACCTGAATATGTCATTTACTTATATAAGCCGTAAGATAATATTGCTTAAAATTCAAAATTTTTCAAAATTCAATTTTTTTTAAAGCAAGTAACATCTTCGTCTTTATATTTCATTAATATAAGTATCTTGTTTTGAAATTTATAATATTTGTAGTATACTATCTCTTGTAATGTATATATTTTATTACAGAAAATGCTTAGATTGGCGATATTACAGATGGATGCAGAGAAGTCATCCAGAATAGCAAATTATATATAACAATCTCTATTTCTGTATAAAGTAAAACCATTTTTTGCACTGTAATTCTATTTTTCTTTGATTTAACTTACCTACAGTTAATTTTTATAGCGTCATCTTAAAACAGAACAATGTGTCTTGCAGTGTACTGAAAAAACAAAATTTTTGTTTTTAAATGAAATATATTTATTATTATTTGCTGTAAATGTGTTATATTTACCAATAAATTCTGAAACTAAATCGTTTTCATTTTCCCCACGCATAGTTCCAGTAATCTCTTCATCTTCTACCATTGGCAAAAATAATTGTACAAATTCTGCTGTGTATGGAGGGGCTATTGCTTCTAAAACCTTACATTGCAAATTCAAATTGATAAAATATTAATATATTATGTAAACTGCATTAAAAAAGAAAACGGTATTATAATTCACCTCTGTGACAAAATATCTAATTAAAGATACATCTGTATCTCCACGTTGCCAACATTGCTTAATATAACATACGACAGGTACTACACAGCCTCTACTCAACAAATTCACCATTCTATCAATTAACATCTTCTTCATTTCCAGCTATATAAAAGACAATTATTCATTTAAAATGTTGTCAATTTTTCGTTTTTAAACCCTATTTGAAACCTTGTATTTACCTGTACAAGTATCTCTAATTCATCTTGTTTGCTTTCAAATAAGTGCACAAGTAAATTTAATATCTTTGTATGTAACAGAGAATGACAGACTACAACTTCATCTAATAAAGCAAGATGTACAGGACAATGCTCTGTACATAATTTGAAATACGATGGTTCTGTTACAGTACACTCTACCCATCGAATTATACCCACACTTACAACAGGAAACCTACAATACAATAGATATTAATAAAAATTATTCTCTTTTCTATAGCACAGAAAAAAAATATATTAAAAGTCAATCTACCGTATGCATTGATATAAAGTGTGTAATTCTGCTATTAATTCAGTCGATCCTTTATTTATATTACATATATTGTGTACTTTCTCAATTGCCTGAATAGTCGTTTTTAATTCATCTTTATTAATTTTACGCGTATTGCCCTTTTTAGTTGTTTCACATACGCTTGCTGCATAAGCCAATAGATATATGTATTTTGATTTATGTTCAGGATTTATCTTAACACCAGGTTTAAAAAGTGCATCAACCAGTAATTCTGTAATGTGCAAAGTTTCATCAAAAATCTTATAAATTATTATAAACATTTCTATTATTAATATTATAAATGTTATTATCATAAATAATCAACATACCTAAGAATTGTGGATTACGCAACAGTTCAATAGGAGGTGGCTCTGATGTAGAGAAATTTCTAAATAATACAGTGATATCAGCTGGATTTAAAGTATTTCTCGATAACATAGATGCTAATGCTTGACATGCTCCAGGGCTACTGGCAGCACCATTCAGAGCCATTGTTATTGGAGTGACATCATGTCGATTTTGCTGAGCACACTTGGTGATTTCTTGAGAGAGCCTCTTCATCATAAAACCACCGCGAGATTCCTGCGCAAGAATTTGCAACAGGACTTGACTATATACATAAGTGTGTTGACCATGACACACCATTTTTGCACACTCTTGTATACTGGACTGCCAATTTTCTGTATTTTCAAGAAAACCAGCAATTGCGGTCTTTAATACACGTGAAAAGACTTCAATTTGTTGAGCTGCGGTTGAAATACTTGTAATTTCACCTTGAAATCCAGCATCAGATATAAGTTTGATAGTAAAATTTAACATTAAACAATCTGGATATTCTTCCGCGAGCCTATAAATAAGGGATCGCCAAGTGGGATGCTGAATCATTTCGGTCAACCAAGCCGGAGTTTCACCCTCTTCTGTAAAGATTTTGTCTGCTTTTTTGGGATCAAAAGTTTTGAGAATCATATCCTTTAAATTGTTTTCTACCATTGCCTGTACATCGGTAACTTTTACCCCAGCAAGAATCAGCCATTCCGCAAGAAGGTTTGCCATTTGTGCACAAGCTGTATAATTCTTAGACAATAATTCAATGACTTGTTCAGGATTTCCTCCAGCTTGAAAGTATCGTTTAAGCTGAGCAAAAATGCCAGGCTCCATTATGTAATCTGGAGTCTTGAATTTATCCAGACATTCGTTCAAAACTTCTTGTGGATTATCAAATGTATCCTCTCCACTGCAGTCATCACTTCGATTCATCTCATCTCCCCAACCACTACGATCTTCATCATAATCGGACTCCATCTACATAATAATTATTTAAACAGCTAATATTAATTATCTATTATTATCGTATATAAAATGTGTCTATATGTAAATGTATCTATATGTATATGTAAATGTTTTAAAATTTCAAAAGAAATTCAAGAACGCAACATGTTCAATGATTTTTCATTATTTCATCAAATCACAAATTAAAAAGATACATAGTTATATGAAAATATTTAACTTTCTTCTTGCAAAAAATAAACAACCTGAATTATATGAGAATATTTCAAATTTACTTTCTTCTATCACTGTTATATCTTTAATGTAATATTTAACATTTTCAATAGGTTAAAAAAGGTAACAACTATTAAAATAGCTCATACTCCTGCATAAATGTTTCGATTTTTTTTTTCAAATAAAAAAAAAGGTGTACAAATTATTATCACTGTAATCATTGAAAATTAACGAACGCTTCTATTTACATACCTCGTGCAAGCAATGTAAATAAAATTGCCAATTGGTGTGCCAACTGTCAATAATAAATCAACAATAGGTCTGTTCGTTTTAGTTGCACTGCTGCACTAGTGCAATTAGTTAGAGTGAAAGAAAGTATGTTTGTCTCCTTCTAACTTATTGCACCTAGTGCAGCAGTGCAGCTAAAACGAACAGACCCAATTATTATTATGTGCATCAAGGCTCCTGCACATAGGACACAATACGCGTTGAGTACACGATTCACGGGACGACCAATCAATTCATCATCCTTCCGAAGTAGCCTTAAGAAATTCACCAATCACAGTCGAGTATTCTCTTCATATTTGATTGTGATTGGTCAATCTCTTAAGGCTTAAATTACCTATCGTAGATCGGGACTAATAAATCATCGTATGATTGATCTTAACGCGTTCCAATGCGTTCATATTATCGACATTACGTTTGTCCAATAATTTTTACCTCTACCAATTATAATACATATATACATATATATATACATATACATGTATCGCTTTTATTTCTCGACGCAGTAGCAGATATACTTAGAGCCTCCGCACGAGGTGTTCCGTATCGCATTACGTTAAGTATCAATGGTAAATTTAATTCCGTACGTAAACTTAAACTTCAGTCAACGCACAGAAAAAATCGTAACATAAGACATGTCTTTACGTCACGATTTTTTCTGTGCGTTGACTGAAGTTTAAGTTTACGTACGAAATTAAATTTACCATTGATATTTAACGTAACGTAATGCGATACGGAACACCTTGTGCGGAGGCTCTTACCATCTACACCACGACAATCGCATGCCGCATCGATAGAAGGAGCGCTAGAGGAATGTGCGCGGCGGATACGGGAGCGCACAGCGCGCACGTCAAAGCGCGCGTCACGTGGACAGGCGCATCGAGCTCGCGAACTCGCGATTCGAAGGAAGCCCTGCAGCGCCGTAGCGGCGGTTTCGGGGCCGAACTCGGCCATATTTCCTCTCGTGGGTCCCGCTGGTAGAAGGGAGAAGGTGGTGCTGTTCCGGGCATCGGAACTGCGAGACGTACTGTTCTTTCGAGAAGGAGATGAGGATCGCGTCTCGCGCGCGCGCGCCTCGTAACCGATCATCGTGCAGTGCAGTGTAGTGTAGTGCGGCGAGCTCAGACCCAAGCCGAACCGGACCAGAGGATGTCCAAGGGAAGCGGCGCTCCGGCCGGCAGGCGGCCGTCGTCGCGCAACGCGAAACCCTACGACGCGAACAACGTGAGTAGTCCGGTTAGCGAGGCCGTAGCCGCGGCCGCGGTCGCAATCGGCGCGACCGAAGTGGAGTGACGCGAACGATCGAATCGACGTCGAGCGCCTGCCTCTCGACGTCCCGCGCGTCCGCCCTTTCCCTACGAGGCGACACCCGCGATATCGCGGTTATGTGAGCGTGCCCCGATGATAACCTCATTCTCGTGCCCATACGTATCGTCGTACGCACGCATCTCGTGCACGCGCGTTCTCGTGACCTTGAAGGATCCACGGCTATTTTACGCATTTTTGACGTATCTTTGACGAGGGAGATAGGAGGCCTCTCTCGGGCCTCTGGATTTCTAACGATTTGAAAAACGCGAATCATACCTCCTGTGCGTCTTCCTCTCTCCTTCTGTTTCTCTCGCTCCCTCGCTCTCTCTCTCTTTCTCTCTTTCTCTTTTTCTCTCCCCTTTGCGAGCGTCACGCGCTCTGCGTAGGTCTTCGCGCGAATTCTCGCGGCGTGTTATCGTTCATAATGTAATACTGACGATTTTTGAATACGATTCTTGGAATTCTTGCGCGCCTTGTCGGAGTATGAGCAAAAATTCTTATTGTGTCTTGTGTATTGCGTAATATAATGTAACTTGAACTTTGATTATGAAAAAAAGCTAGTATACACCTTTTGCCATGGTGTCTTTTACACTTGGGGATTAATGATGGAATCAAATGAGAATATATATTCGATAAATATCAATTCGATATCTGTATAATTTTTTCTCAGAATTTTTCAATTTCGTCATGAGAGAGAGAGAGAGACAGATCGTTATTTTTATAAAAATTAATTCTTCATTCTTCGTCGGTATATTCTTGCAGGATACTTTATATTTTATTAGGTTTTTGTGATTTTGAACTTGTGAAGAATTTAAACTGCAATATTTAAACTTCATCGATACAATGGCTTCTATATATCAGAAAAACTAGAGACTTCTTTCTTTAATTTTTTTACAGCAACAAATATAACTTCAGATGGAAAGTGTAAATTTAACAAAATTATAGTATGATAAATTATATATTTGTATAAACAATAAAAAAATTAAAGCTAGTTTAGCAACAATAGTGAATCGCTGCAATATCTTGCGACAAAAGTTTTTGACAAACCATACTTCATAGCACTGATATGTGTCGAATGAAATTTTGAATTTATATCTATCACCATTTGTGTATATTATTTTTTTCTTCTCTCTTATTTATTTCAAATTGAATAAAAGAAAAATATTTTTTAAAATATTCTTATATAGGATTCAAAGATATTTCTTATGTTTCAATAATAATATATATGTGAAGCATTATAATAATGTCTATTTAAGTTTACATTAATAATTATATAATTAATTATATAGATTTATATTATATATTTGTATATTTATATCCTTTACAGTCATTTGTAAGAAAAATGGCAACCAAGGTAACAGATTTTATACCACAATCATCATGGATTAGTAAGTGGTTCAATCCTCTGCAAGGTAATGAGGATGCATTAGATAATAGAGAAAATACTGAGGAAACGGAAGATGATATACAACAACCTCCTAACAAGCGATCACGTATTTGTATGGATACTATTCATCCACCTGGCACATTTTCTATACAAACAAGAGCTAAAAGTGCATTAAACACGATTGAGCCTTCTAAGGAGCAATATCCTGTTCATAATGAGGTGATAATCAAATATATAAAAATGAATTATTATAGAATGAATGACATTTAGAGAAAGGGAGAAAAAGAAAAATGTATTTTGTTTTACAACTTACAGAGGGAAGATTTTTCGGAACTCGCAACAGCTGGACCAAGTGGGATAAGTCGTTTAATATCTTCGACTCCTGCAATGCAAGCAGATATTAGGACTGTAACATCTCACAAATCTGACTTAAATTTAGCTTCATCAATTAATAATGGAATAATAAATGGAATTGATGATAATTCGGAGTCAAGTGAAAGTACCAGTGGATGCAGTTCGCTTATTCCACAAATAAATAGACATGAAGGTCCATCAAATTTGTATAATTCAACATTTCCCAGTAGAAGGAGACATATTGATGATAAATTGACATTTAGTAAGTGTAAATTGCATATTGCGTATATGGAGTTACTTAAATAATGATATAAGTTGTATTAAAGTTTTATAATCAGTATAAAACTGTTTTAAATAGTGTGTGTGTATGTGTATATATATGCTTATGAAATCCTATATTTTTGTTTCAGCTAATCATTTGCAATCCCCAAGATCCTTGTTTCTAGATAGTAATTCTCGTGATACTTTAAGCAGTCGTAGACCAAGTTTTAATGCATCAGTTATGACAAATGTTCTAGACCGCGCATCTCCTCTGTCTTCTCCTTTTTATAGTGGTAATATCACTTTTGGGGGTGCAAATGCGGCAGGTTTTTACAAACCAAATCGTAATCTTTTTAATAATTCAAGTGAGGTATGTAATTTAATTGTTTTACTTTAAAGTTTGATTTTTTATGTTCCACATTACAAAGATTATTTGTTGATATTTTTTTTATTATTGATATAATAATTTATGTCAATTCATTCATTCGTTTTAGTTACAACTTAAAGTACCAAGGAGAACGAATGTTGAAGTTAAACCTTCTAGTGCAGTAGATGATTCATCGGGTATGAGTCAAACGGCAAAGAAAATATTGGAAGCATTAGAACATTTTTCATCACCTATATCTGATGCAAAGAAAATTCCATTGAAAAACACAAATAATACTTTATTTCCGGTAATGAACAGAAAAAGAGCACGGGAAGAAGTAGCAAGCCCATCTGCTAGGATTGGCTTGCGTCATTTGACGCGTGAATTGACAGTACCAACCGTTCCTGATATATTGAAATTAAGAAGACGACAAAAATTGCAAGATACAACTCTTGCAGCTAGAAAAATTGTTTCTTCTCGTAGTGATCCACCTCCACCTCCACAGGAATATCGTTTAAGGTATTTATCGAATGTAATTTTATATACTTATTCTTATCTATAAAGAAATAAATATAAGTGATAAAAAAAAATATTTTAATAAATTCACTTTTTCTCCTTAGGATGGATGATACCGATAATGAAAAGTATCGTGGCAAACTGAAAGGCAAATCTAAAATAAATCTAGAACAAGAAGAAACAGTGGCACCTTTAAATTTGCCGAATGTACCTCTGCCAATAACAACATTACCCAATTTCAATTTTACGCTACCATTTCCTACTTTACATTCTACAGAAAAAACTATAGCAAATAAAGAAAACACGTTTACATTTGCTAGCCCAATTAAAATGCCAGATGTTGAAAAAAATTTGCAGTCTGTCAACAATTACACTTTTAGTAACCCAATTAATGCTGATGATAGCACAAGTAAAACAATTACTTCGAGCTTGTGTTCAATAATAGAGGATGTTGGATCTGCTTTTTCGTCTACCGATGATACAATCACATCTATGCCTAATTTTATTTGGTCCGGTTCATCTACAGCACCTAGATTAAAAGCAAAAGTAAAAAACAGCAAGGATGATTTTGTCGAACCTTCAGTAATGTACGAACAAAAATCGGGAAGTGTTATAAATGTATTATGCTCTAAATCTGACAAAATAGAATCTACTTTAATTGAACAGTCAAACTCGAGATCAACCGAAACAACAGACAAGATAGCTAATGCATCTATTAGTTCAGATTTAGATATCAAGAGCACGCATGATGCCACATTGTCTTGGGAGTGTAGTGAATGTCTGATCAAAAACAGTGGCACAGACAAACAGTGTACTGCATGTAAGGTCGTTCGATCAAATCCTAATGACAAAACTTCATCAACGTGCTTAACATCAACGATAAATACCGTCGTAAAATCGAAACCGGTTCCAAACGATTGCTTCGGCTCTCAATTTAAATTATCTACAAACCAGTGGGAATGTACAACATGTTGTGTAAGAAACAAACAGAGTGATGTTAAATGTGTAGCATGCTCTGCACTGAAACCAGGAAGTAATGCAGATGTTATGCAGCAAACTATCAAATCTCAAAATGATCTAATGGAGAAGTTTAAACCTGCTGAAGGATCGTGGGAATGTCATGGTTGTTTATTAAGAAATGCCGCAAACGTTATTACATGTCCTTGTTGTAATGCATCCAAACCTACTTCCATAAAGACCAATCTGAAAAAGACAAATACTGTTACAGAATCGTCCTCGCAAAAGTCAACCGCTGCTAATACAGATAATACAGCAAACACATCACAGGAAATAACATCTAGTAATTATCAAATAATGAATAAATCATCTAAATTACCTACTCCCATAAAAACAAGTCCAAAGAAGGCAGATACTGTTGCAGAATCATCCTCACAGAAATCTGGCACTGATGATATAGACAACGTAGCAATGCAAGGAACAACATCGAGTAACGAAATAATGAATAAATTTAAACCAAGCAAAGATTCATGGGAGTGTTCAGGGTGCCTTGTACGAAACAACAATTCTGTTACCACTTGTCCTTGCTGTAGCACTCCTAAACCTAATTCTCTTGGCGAATCGAGCAACACAAACCAGACATCGACTAATGGATTTGGAGACAAATTTAAAAAGCCGGAAGGTTCGTGGAATTGCGATACTTGCTTGATACAAAATGATGCAAATTCTACGCAATGTGTGGCTTGCCAAGCTTTGAAGCCTGGTACTGTAAAGTCAAATAAATCTGCATCAAGCGTTAGCTCTACTTTGCAGTTCAAGTTTGGCGTACCATCTAACACATCAAATTTAGTTAATCCAAGTAGCTTTAATTTCGGCATAGATAAGGCTGATAATCATAATTCTGATACTGCATCTCCCTTAAATGGGTTCAAATTTGGTAATACACAACAAGTAATGCGTAACACTTCTACAAATGCAACGACTACTTGTCTTCCAACTTTTGCTCAACCTACTTTCACATTTTCCGATTCGAAGGCATTATCTCAGTCAGCCACAATACCAACTTTTGGCCAAGTTCCGACATCGTCCGCCGCATTATCTACGAATCTATCATTTGGAGAAAACAAATCAGCTGAAATATCCACTCTGTCATCTAATAAATCCACAAGTGATACACCAGCTGCTACGCTCTTCCCAATCGTGTCGAGTTCTACGTCGCTTTTCAACAATAATGAGTCGAAAACAACAATGGCATTCGGAACGAATAAACCGGCGTTTACTACAACAGACAGCAGTAAACCATCAGGATTTTCCATGCCTGAGAAAATTCCAACATTCGGCAGTAATATGCAAGATAATAAGCCAGCAATCTTCGGGACGCCAGAAACGAAATTACCCGTTGTATTTAATTCACCTGTGGTAAATCCTCTACCGACCTTCGGCATACCGTCCAGCAGCAGCGCTACTTCATCGCTCTTTGGATCATCCAATTCTACTGCTTTCGGGAACAATACTACGCCCGCTTTCGATGGCATCGCAACGACACCTACTACTTTATTCTCATCTACCAAGCCTAGCGTCGAAACTAACCCAGTATCGAATTCTTCTTTATTCAAGTTCGGATCGACATCATCGCAACAATCAGCGACAGGCAGCGGATTTAACTTTTCTGCGAACGTTAATTCGGCTGCGAAACCGCTCTTCACATTTGGTAATAATTCAGCGCCGAGTAGTAACAATATGTTTGGTAGTGGTACTTTCGGAGCTAATACCGCTTCAACAAATACCAATGCCAATTTTGCATTTAACACACCTAAACAAGAAACACCGGCGGCATTCGGTCAAGGCGCGACAACAACTCCAATGTTCGGTGCCCCGCAAGCAAATCCACAGACTCAAGCAACATCACCATCGTTTTCGTCTACTCCTTTGTCCAATACAGGATTCAATTTTGCATCTGCAGCTCCATCCGCTGCAGCGTCAGGAGGCTTTAACTTTGGAGGAATGGTAAATATGAATTAATTTCATATATAAATTTTATTAACTAATAAAATAAGGTAGTATATATAATCTCCCCCTCTCTGCTCCTGTGTGTGTGTGTGTGTGTATTTTTTTTAGAAATTATTAATAACTGATATGTATTATGATATTGCAGTCGTCTACATCAACTGGAGGATTCAATTATAATCCTCCTACTACTACTCCCACCGTGGTTTTCGATCCCAACAGTCGGCCTTCATTCAACTTTACTAAAGGAAGCGTACCAACAGCATTCAAGTGAGTATATTGACTGGAAATTTGTCATATATTAGACATTAGACCTAAAAAAAAAACATAATTTTCTTGTGTTTTATGAAATAAACACACTCGACATTTTAAATAAATATTTTATTTAGATTTGATAGTTATGTATAGACTATAATGTAGAATATAACACAGTCTCTCTGCAATACACAAATGCAAATTCTCAATGGCATTTTTCATAGATTTTAAATTGTATTTCACTTATAACTTTATGAATATTTCAGTTAATCGTCAATGGCTTGTTCTCATGCATTTTTCGATTAAGATAAAATAAAAATTTTTAAAAATCTGGCGTCATTAAATCATATAATTTACATGACTAATTATCATTGCTGAATTTTGAAATTAATTAATCTGCAAATATTATTCTCAAAATGTCTATCATGGTTCGTGTCATATATGCCACAGGTTTGTTGGACCTTATATTTTTTTAAACTCAATTTATTAATTTACACATCTGAATCACTTCATTATATCACGGTTTATTATAACAATATCCATAGTGGTTTTGTAAATATTCAATAAAATTTTTAGTCCAAATATCACATGCCACACATTTATTTTACAAGAATATAAGAGTTACTGATGAATTAAATATAGATTTTTGACAAAATAATACTGAACAATAAAACCAATTATTTTATTTGACAAAATCACTAACGTCAAAATGTGCCTTGTTATTCATAACGCTTTCTTTGCTAAAATGTAACTTGCCTTCAAAAACCTGCAAAATTAAATTACTCTGTATACTTCTCTAATATAATTCCCAGGTCTAAATAAATTTAAATTATTTTTAAAAAAATTAGTTTTTATTTTGTTTGGAAATTATTCATGAATAAAAGTTGTAAGTTGCTCTTTTAGTACACTCTATACTTACAGAATAAATAAAAATATATAAATACGCTTATTATCTTGTTTTATAGTGCTCCACCCCAATCGGCAGCACCGCAACGGAAAATCAAAAAGGCATTTCGAAGATGCATGCGGTAGAGAGCTCGTGATATATAACGTTCACACACACATACACAGGTGCGTCCCTATATCTAGCTGTATATCTGGGTGTGTCCCTGTATGTATGTTAAGCGTTATACAATATGTAAAATGAAATTCTGTCATGCATCAATCGATCACATCAGTGTGGTGGTATATACCAAGCATCTTTTGTAATATAGTAACCCGAAGCTAACCCCCGAATATGCTTGCGTACAACCACTTGTGTTCTTTCTACAGAAAAAGAAATGTAAATTATTTAAATTATACAGTAATAATGAAAATAATACCCTGGAGTTGGCATGAAGCCAGTGAAAATTGTGATGCCATTGCATTACTAAGACCCTACCAAAAAAGAAAAAAAATCAGACTTGGTCCGTATGTACCAACATACGTACTCAATAACGTACATATTTACCGAAATTGAAAAATACCTCGATAAAGAAAACTTATAATAAGCACTTAACATGTGCAATCGAAGATTAAAAACTAGTGGGAGATTGTCACCCGCTCAGGTAAGTATAAGTCAGTCACAGCTCGTAGCACTATTGTTTGTTTAAGCTTGATACTATACTTATTTAGAAAAAATATAAATTTAAAACCACAAATATAAAATAATTTTCTTATTAAATGTTGCACACAATTCAGAGAGGACAGCTAAATATGTATAGTTACATTTGAATATTTTTGACATATTTGATTATAGAAAATATTTCTAGAGAAAAAAAATAATTTGAGAAAACAAATTATAATTCTTATAATATTTTATTACAAAAAATTATTTACGATAAATTAGAAATTAATTTTCGATAGTTTTTATATTACTTGATAATTTTATTATATTTGACTCTTTAAATGTGTGTAATATTCTACTGAGAAATTTATTTATTTATGTATCTATTAAAAGCATAGGAAATATATGTTTAGTTGCTTTTTATATATAGTTTTTTTGTTAAAATCTTTAATTTTTAATTTCTCTATATATATATATATATGTGTGTATCATAATACCTTCCGTCTAATGAGAACTGTACTAATTATAAAAAAGTATCTTTCTTACAAGATTTTGTGTAATCAAATGATCATTTTAGTGTATTTGTAACCTTTAAAAATGTCCATACATATATGGACAATACTTCTAAAGACATTTGTAAAATATCATGATATTGCGCACGAGCATTGTGAACTGACTATATATCAATAAAATCCCACTATACATATAAACAAAAACACACACACACACATATACATACATACATACATACATACATACATACATACATACATATATACATATACATGCGCATTAATTATATTTTAATTAGAATTTCGTGGACAGCCCTACACAATCTTTGTAGAGAACTAGTCCAGGAAAAGTGTAATATACACAAAAATGGCATTCGGATAGTACAAACTGACGATTACTGAACGTTTTCATTGAGTAGTCGAAATTGTATATTTTTTTTATATATTGAATGAAATAATCCTATAAGAAAATACTGAATGCCATTTTGATAGGTTTATATTATAACGGTGTTTTATCATAGAATGAGTGAAATAAATTTGAAAGAAGGATATGTTGAATGGGAATAGATTATCGCGGGACTTCTAAAGAGTTTCTTCCTAAAATCTTACATAATTGTTGATTATGAGGCAAGTTACTCTTTTTAATTGTGTATTAATTTTCAATTATTATTATTAATATATGCTTATATACAAGAGTGACATAAATAAATAAAAATTTCAATATTAAATATTTGATGAATTATTAATCAATTGATTATACTTGTTTCTGCCAATTTATATAAAAATATCTATTTGATATTATTATAAATCACTAAAACAAAACCAGTTAAAATTGAAAACTTTAAAAACTTTCTTCATTATTTGATTATTGCAAATAATATAATAAAAAGTAAAAAAAATATCTAATTTGTTGACCTTTTAAACATTCAAAAAATGTTTCCTTTTACAGAGTTTAGGTAAAAAAGTATAATTAAATATCCTTTTTTATAAAACCTCTTTATAGTGGAATACACAATTCACATTCGAAAAAATAATTTTGGTGTATTCCGGAATAAATAATTTTTATAAGCGCAATTCTTTAGAATGACATTAATTTTGAAACTTTATTATTTCAATAATTGAGTTATAAGTTATTCTTTTTAGAAGTCCCTAAAGTGGAAAGTAGTTAGATGGCATATGATGATGATCAATGAATCATTATTGAAATCATGCACATCTTATTTAAGATTAGACTTGTGTAAAATGTTGGCTTAGATCTGACAGTAGCCAAAAATAACTCGGCACATGACCAATCTTATGCCATATTAGATATTTAGGTACAAAAGATTCTGTTAATACGTTGTTATTTATCTCCGTTGTTATATATTTACATGTAAACACATTGAGAGATCTTTTAAGTTCTATACATTATTAAGAGACAAAAATTTATAACTTCTTTATGTTAAGCACTTGTATTTTTAATATTGTCAAAACACCCTTTATAGGTATCTCCCATTTAAACAGTGTTGATTAAATATGTAATACGTATGGGTGATTTTAAGGAAAACTTTCCTATGATGCAACTGATGTTCACGTTAATCTCGAATGTATAACGATAAATAATTAATAATTTAAAAATTAATTTGAGAATAATATAGGAATAAAATTATTTTAGTTTTTAAGGGAGAAAAATCCATACTGAATAACCTACGAAGGATTTTTTGGACATAATTAAATGATTAACAAGCCTCTGTTTTACATGATTACAAAATAAAGATATTGTAATTAATGGTAGAGTGAGGCTGCGCTGAGATATATCTGTGCTGCTGTCTTACACTGTGAACATTCTCTGTTGAGGCTGTGTCGTCCATTTGTCTATGAATAGACAAATTTCCAAATTAATATATCGAATATATTGCCTGCAAAAAGGTAATATCTTTATATTAAATTTCGCGTATATATATGGCCTTATAAATACATAATGAACGTATAACGTAGATGTATTAACGACTATAAGGCAAATTTCGTATTGGACTTGTTTTGTAGCTTTATATGCTCTCCATTCTAATATGTTTACATAAATATCCAAAGAATGCTGCATTAAAAATGTTCAACAATAGTTATGTAACATCTCATGATTGAAAATCTCACTTTACAATCCAATAAAAGTATATTTTTATTGGATTGTAATATTATTCAAGTATGTATTAATATACATAAAATTATATTAGCATTGTTATTATATTAAAGATCGAAAAGAAAGTAATTTTAATTTTTCTTTATCACATATGATGGTCTTTTTGAAGAAAAATTTTTCGTCGATAAATCAACTATATATTTTTTTTTACATTAAAAAAGAATATGTATGTGAATTTGTTTTAAAAATATATATATATAATTGTTTTCATTATAAAATAACAGCGACTATAAAAGCTATGTATCTTAAAATATGTTATATTATTGTTAGATTGCTCAAAGGAATGCTTTATTTAAAATCTAAAAACAAAAAAATTTGCATTTTCAGAAATTGCATAAATGGAACTATAAACGTACAAATTTTAAAACATAAAATTGTTGCAAAATTATTACAAGCTATTATAAATAAAATAAAATTTTACTAAAAGAAAAAGCCAATTTTTTCAAAGATTTCCTCATAAAATACTTAAAAAAAAATCCACGCATATGTATTTAAGAATAGTATTATATTTATATAGCTATGAAAATGCATACACAACTTTTTTATTTCAGATTATCTTAACCGAAATATAATCCCTGAGACAATACGATAATAACATGATGCAAGAGATGCATAGTTTTAATATACTATCATTATTTTAATATACTATCATTACTTTTTGACGAAATTTTATATAAAGCATCCTCTGAAAATGTGTACAAGATGTCCGTCCATAAATGTCTGAGCAAATATCTTACAACTAATCGAAGTTACATGAAAGTTGAATAAGAAAAATTTACAGTTTTTAATCCGCAATAAAGTGCATGTAAAAATATTTTTTTTTATTCGTAACCTTTTCAAATTATGAAAGTCATCATCATTTTTTTACTGGATACTTATTTTTTGTACATTTTGTGTAAGAATCAATAGAAATTTATATCATATTTAATGAAAAATTGCTATTATGCATTATTTATGCGATAATTAGCATCTTGAGTATTAAGATAGTAAGTTGAATTTTAACATTTGATAATTTTTTTGATAATTTTTGATTAAAAAAATGTCGAAAAGGTTAAAAAAACGAACTATTTTTTTATAAAATATTTATTGACACAAATTGCTCGAAATTTTGTCCATCATGTTCAATAAACATTCGACATATATATAATGTTTCTTATTGTGTTGATTGTATATAATAGATAAAATTTCAAGCAATTTGTATATATTAATCAATGTTTCATAAATAGTTTTAATCTTTTCAATCTCTTCGACATTCCAATCCGAATTCAACAATACTTAGAGAATCTAATTTATTGCTTTAATACTTAAATTTGTAAATAATGCATAATAGTAATTTTTTATTAAATAAGAATTTAATTTATATTGACTACAATATACAAAATAAATATACAAAAATATACAAAAAATAAGTATTTATTTAAAAAAATGATGATGCGATCTCTATAACTTGAGAAGATTACGAAAAAAATTTTTTTTATATGCGCTTTTTTGTGGGTTAAAAACTGTGCAAATTTTTCTTATTCAATTTTCTTGTAATTTCAATTAATTGGGAGATTGCTTGGACATTTATAGACAAGCATTCTATATATAATAAATATGTCGATAAAATATTTTTATTAGAAATATTATTTTGTTAAGAACTTCTTTTTTTCTGAACTTTTATTGCGACTATTTCCACTTTAATAAAGATGAAAATTTACAATGATTGTATTTTTACACGCGTGTCATGGGATGTTACAATATGTCAAATATTCCGAGGCCTTATTATATAATCTTAGTCCATTGGAAATCATATTGTACTGAATTTTTCTGAATGTCTGTAATGATTCTATGAAGATGTATTAAGCAATTATATACCTGGGATTCAGAAATGAGGGAGTTTGTTATGAAATAAATCCAATGACTGACTGTAATTAAATAAAATAATATGTAGGAGAATGTTCACTGTATGCTTCAGGTGCTATGGGAATGTTGTTACATTCTCATGACATGATGTAATATTAGTTAATATTATGAAAAGCACATCGGTGTTTCTCAACCGATGAATGATAGAACAATTCAAAAGCGATTTGTTATAGTATGTAATATGCAAAGCGTATAAGAAAAGCCATCTTTATTCGTATAAGCAAAGTTGACGAAATACGCTAATTGCGCGATTGAAGCTTTTTCTTTTTTTTTTTTATTATTACATCTTAAAAATGTATATACTATATCTTAAAATTTATAAACCACAATTTATTTCCTTAAGACGATATATTATCAAATGTATTTGATTTTACAGAATATACAATTATAATTTAAATGTAAGCGATGTCAATAATATTCGCAATAACAAGAAAAAAAAAAAATATATATATATATATATATATATATATATATATATATATATGTGGAATTCTTTTGTGGACCAGAAAAATGCAAAGAATAATTGTTACTGTTTCGATTCTTTATCTTTATTGAATAAAGAGGTGACATAATGTTGTTGCCTTAATGGATAGCTCTTGTAACATTCAGGAGCTACTTGGAGCTTGTGTTGAGAAACACCGTGATAGATACGTTAACATTATTACGAATACTATTCTTAATACTAATCTCTGTTTATCTACAATGATTATATAATTATGCACATAATAATTATATAATTATCTAAATATGTGTATAATTATATGATTATACACGTAATAATCATGTAATTATATAATTATATTAGAATAATATAAAAATACACTGATATAAACGACGAGGTTAATTAATTTTTGGGTTATAGTTTTATTTCATATTTAAAAAAAAATATATATAAGAGGGCATTTAGTAAAATGATTTGAACTAAAGAATTTTATATAGCGCTTGTGCACACACATATATACACATTGATATACATTAAAATAATTTAAAATTATTTAATCTCTGGTATGTGAAGGAAAAATCATTAAAAATGTGCAAATCCATATTATATATATATATATATATATATATATATATATATATATATAAAATTCTTTGGATCAAAAAGTAATCTAGAGATGCACATAAATTTACAACATAAATTCAATCGCTCTATTCCAATGTTTAAGATAAAGTATATTTTATGGGATATGTTTTTTCATTTTGTTTTAATCCTGTAAGTAGTAGGATCGCTCCTTGACAGTTCCTCAAAGAAATATACAAAATAAGAGATGCATATTGCGAATTATTGTATCACATTCGTGGTTTCCGACATCTTAAATTGTATACATATGTTATATATATACACACATATATATCGCTCTACAACTGTTATAACAATCTATTTCAAAAGATAAGATAATTTTCAACAATACGATACGCAAACAATTCGTTTTGGACATCTTTCAGTAAAGTATGAATCATTTAATATACTCCTTCCATTTCTTACAAAATTATATATATATATATATATATATATATATATATATAATTCAATTAAATAAGTTACAGTAAAAAAGTTCTCGAAATACCTCATTAAAGGATTCCTTAACAATATAATCCCTTAAACAACAATTACAATTTGCGTTATTATTGACTATTCCATATACAGTACAATACTTATCCAACATTAAGACTATGGACATAACTAACAGATTATCCTTATTTGTTTCTTCATTTAATATAATTATATAGGTAATTACAATAAAGTAAAACAAGTTATCTGTAATTGTAATATAAAAAATGCATATGTTTATTTTTTAGATCCACAGATACAATAATGTGTTCTTACTAACTCAAGAAATATTTTGACATATATAAAATTTTGTCATTCGCAAATAATAGTACTCATTCTGATTCTGCTATTTACATGTAAGAGTTAAATGATGACTATTTAAGTTAATCTAAAGATTTCATCATTGCTATATACTTTTTAATTACACGATGTAAATAGGAGAGCATGTATATAACAATATATCAATATGTGCTCAGCGATGATACATTCTATTTATGTCAAGAAACCCTGTGTAATAAAATGATTGGAGATTGAACACAAATCTAAATGTAAAACATACAATTCCCTATTGCATTTTAAATTGCTCATTGCATATTGTATTTAATGAAATTTTAAAAAGTAATTCTCAATGAAAAAAGAATTCGGGAGATTAGGTGAGACTATGGCGATAAAGAACTGTATTAAAACTTGTGGCACGAATTTTATTCCGAGATTTACAACAAAAATGTTTCAACTAGTTAAAATGCCGCTTAATCTGGGGATATGAAACATTGACACGTATAACATAGGTAAATACAAGACAATGTGGACAATTCAGATATACAATTCAGCAGTTTGCATTGAACTGATAAAATTGATTCGTTTTTCTATTCACTTAGTGTTGTATTTGCGACTTGGATAGGCCTTCTGTGCTTCTCAGAGAGGTGGATTCACTAATAATAAATTTATTTAATAATAAATTTATTCATTTAGTTAAGACTCATTGGCTGGTAAATGTAACAGCCGATCCTCTCTGAGCAGCCCATGTTCATTCGCTATTATATCACTTCTATTACGATATTATAATTTAGGTACAATCTTAATTATTCAATATTAATGAGAATATTAATAATGTTTTATTTTTGCTTGAATTATAGATTTTAATTATAATTATTTTATAAAGATTCTTACACTAAGAATCGTCAGACATGAAGGAATTTTGGGATTTTAATTCCTCCAGTGTTCGAATTTGTTGACGGAGGAATAATATCCTAAAATGACAAATAAACAAACGAGATAATATAAAAAGTCAAGAGAAGAACTGTCTTGTTTTAGAACGCTTATTAAATACACGATAACGGAGTAAATGAGGTACTTACCTTTGTTCCTGCAACGTTGCCTGGATTTCTGTCAGCCTCACTATCGATCGTGCTGTTTTCAATTCTGCAGACACTCTCGTACATTGTAAACTGCCCATTGTGTGTGCTTCCTCACTAAGTTTCTGTGCCTAAACAAAATTATTTAATTTAAAAAGAAAATTCTTTAGCAATATTAGGAATTCTTATCTACGAAATTAGATTTCCACCTGTTTTTCGAGAATATCGGCGGGAAAGGCACGCACATGTTGCGTCAAGTCTTCCCGATAATGATTAGCGAGCGATGGTGTTAAAGAAGGTGTTAAGGGAGGCTGCACTCTAGATAATGCCTGTAAACCTCCCGTATTACTTAAATTCCCAAGGGATCCTAGTGTACTGAGACTCTGCAATGAGCTCAGACCTTGTACTCCGGAATTTGTTCCTCCAGGACTCGTTACTGTAAAAAAACAAAGACAATATATATATATATATATATATATATATGTATATGTATGTATGTGTGTGTGTGTGTGTGTGTAGGATGTCCGCAAAATCACTCACAATACTTCGGGAAGTAATTCGAGTTCCAAAAAAAAGAAAGGAAAAAAACATAAATATAGATCTGGAAATAAGTTCGTTTCAGAGTTATAACCACTTTTATGTTAAAAAAATCGTAATTTATAGTCTGCTTGGCATCCTTCTTTTTTAAATTTTGTTAAATTTTAAATTTAAAAATTTAAATTAAAATTCAAATTTAAATTTTTAAATTCAAATTTAAAATTTAAATTTAAAAATTTTAATTTTAAATTTAAAAAAAGGCTAATGCCAAGCGGACTATAAATAACGATTTTTTTAACATAAAAATGGCTATGATTCGAAAACGATTTATTTACGGACCATGTTTATATAGACCTTTTTTCCTTCTTTTTGATCCCGAACACTTCCCGAAGTCCTATGTGCGATTTTTCGAATTTTTTATACATATATAAAAATTGATAAAAGATTTTAATTGAAAAAGAAATACATATTATATCAAAATAAATTATTATACTTGGATTGAGTATACATTCATAAATATTTTAAATTCTAAAATTAAAATTTTTTATTTTCATAAATAATCGTTCTTTCTAAAGATTTATAATCTAAAGATAAATAAAGATATAAATCTTTAGAAAGAACGAATATTTATAAAAATAAAAAATTTTAATTTTACAATTAAAATCTTTTATCAATTTTATGATTCTTACTGATATCAATAGAACCAAATATTACATTTTATTTGATCAACTATTCTAAATTTAATTGATATTTAAAAAAAGGCAAAATAAGTGCATGATGAAAAAATTTAAATAAAATTTTAATAAAAATTCTAACAAAGCTTTAATAAAAATTCTAACAAAGCTTTAATAAAATTCTAATAAAAATTTATGTTTGTGTATTTTATAATTGTTACAAAAAGTGAAAAGAGGATATTTATGTATGAATTAAATTGCAATGATAAATGATTTACTGATATATCAAACATAAAAGCTAACAAGTTGTTATTATATGATTTCTATAAAATAAAATAAACACATTTTTAAATTTCAAACATCTTCGAGTTTAAAAAAAAAACTTACATTTTCGCGCGTCAATGCAATCCTGGGTTTCTGAATGTGTGGGAGTAGGTGGACCCTCGCTGGTAATATTGCCACTTGTATCAACTTTTAGTGGGACCATCACATCACTTCCATTGTTACTTCGATCTCCACTAGCAGACTGTTACATAAAAGCGACAAGCAAATAACGTTATACTATTTGCATATGTTCAAACTAGGAAAGAATTTTACTATATCCAAAAATGTAAAATAATGTCGATAATTCAAATATACTTTTGATTATAGCTATTAAAGACTAAAAAAGTTAAAAAGAGACAGTTATATTAATATCTGAATATTGATATATTTTCAGAAATAAAAATTAAAGGATGTTGAAGAAATAATAATCTACATTCATAACAAAACATTTATAACTTTAGCTTTTAAAATATAAAATTTATGTGTGTGTGTGTAATATACACATACATATGTATGTAATTATTACATATTATTATATAAAATTAAAAACTTATAAAAAAAAAATTTTTCTGAAACTCTAAGAAGATATAAACTTGTATTTAATCGAAGATATTTAGTGATTATTAGATTCATAACATATTAATATTTAAAAAAAAAGAACGGAAGAAAAAGACTACTTTTTATGTTATAATTGTTGAACATACAATACATTACTGAACATGAAAATAACACACTATTCATATTGACAAAACTCAAGCAGTCCTATTCTCTTACTTGTCGAGATAACAAGATGGCTGTTTGAATTGTCTGTAATGCTTTCTGTGGAGTGATATCTGGTTGTTCTTTGTTGCCCGTGATTTGCGATAGAAGTCTCGGGAGATTTGCCAGTGACACCGGTGGTCCCGGGGCGTTACTGTTTCCTTGTTGTTGCGTAGGCGAACTAAGTTTACCAGCCGTCTGTGGTGTTGTTGACGGTGGATGTGATGTTAATCGAGGTAATGCTGACAAAAATATATAATTAACAATATTAGAAATTCCTACAGAATATATGGAATGTTAAAACTTGTAAAGTACAATATATATATATATATATATATATATATATATATATATATGTGTGTGTGTGTGTGTGTGTGTGTGTGTGTGTGTGTGTGTGTGTATGCATACTTAAAAAATAGTGATTTTTAGAAAGAAATGTTTGAGAAAAATGTAAAAGAAATTTCTAAAAAATTACAATGTTGTAATAAAATTAAAAAATTGATCGTGTTGCAATATTCCGAAAATAATAATTCGAGATTTGAAACCTAACAGGTTCTTTTATTTAAAGTCACATATTTTATCTAAAATTAATCTAAGAAAATAATTGTTTTGTAATTTTTTGAAAAATGCGTTTTTTTATGTGCCTCATCTTATATATGTAAAGAACGTACCGGCGGCCAAGAGAACAGGGCCCTGTGGCAGTGGATCGTGAGCGCAAGATGATGTCACGGGTTCCGAAGTAGGTGTGGAATCGCCTGGCGAGATATCCATATCCTGGGCTTGACGTTCCACACTAGCTTCCTCTCTACATGATTCTCTTTCTCGTTCGCGTTCTCGTTCCCTTTCTCGTTCTTTTTCTCGCTCCCTTTCCCTTGCTGAAACATCTTCTCTGTTACTACTACTGCTACTCCCGCCGCACGCGCTCCAATATTCTCGTTTGTCAGACTGTCGCGACGATTTACCATCTCGCATACTGCTACTGCTATTTGATCGCGAGTTGGAATGTTTATCATGACCTGTGCAGAAAAATTTCACAGTTTAAAAAGTACACATTTGACATAAGAGATAAAATTACTTTATCGAAATATTCAAAATTAGTAATTGTATATGTAAAATATGATTTAATATAATTATTTCTCTTCCTTTTAAAATTAACATACAAATATAATATATATTTTTGTTGTTCAAATCAATATAGTAAAAAAAAGAAAAAAAAAAACAAATTGCATATTATATGTTCTAAATTTAAAATAGAAAAGGTAACAAATTCATTTCTCATTCATAAAAAGATAATTGGGATTATCTAAATTATAAATATAAAATGTTAATACAGAAAGATCTATACGTTATTGATTCATCTTTTATTTTAATGCAAAACTTGTTTTATTTTTAAAATTCTGTATTTAATTTTCATTTACTATTTAATATTTTAGACATATTTGATAATTATGAAAATTTAGACGTACTTGACCTAGAAGAATAGTCACTAGACTGCCGTTGACGATTATCTGTCCGATTTATCCACTCCCGTGGTTTCTCCCACTGAGAAACTTCTGTCTTGCAGTTGTAATAATACTTCTTTCCTGATGAACTCATGTGTTCCGACCAATCTCCAAACCTTGCTGTACGTTCCATTGCACCTCCTCGCTCATCACCACGTTTATCCTAAACAGACTGTTCTAAAATTTCTGGAAATGATTGAATAGATGGGAAATATCTTCATTAATTCCAAAACTAGTTCGAAAAGTCGAAATGACATTTGTCCACATCTTGAAGCTATTATCATATTCTGTGTGTGTGTGAGATTATCACATTTTTTATTTTTTATACATGCACACACACGCACACAAAATATAACACACATAGTTTTTTAAATTAAAATAAATTTATAGAAGCTTTTTTCACAATAATACATAACCATTTAATTCTTAGATCTATATGAAATCGATGTAACTTTATTCTTAATTAAATGCATCTTAATTATGAAGAGATGAAAGACTATATGAATAAATGAAAAAGTAAATAAAATTATTTTATCTTTTATATAAATTTGGAATTTGGAATTCATGATTAATACGCACTAATATAAAGAAATATAATTACACTGACCTGACAGGAATTGTGTGATGGTTTTCTCTGTGATGAAGATTCTCTTGATGAGTTTGATGATAATTTTATGGGATGTAAGATCTATATATAGAGGTGTGAATAAAAATTATTTTTTATAATAGTGCATACCTCTTAAATAAGATATACTTAATTACTAATAAAGACATACAATATTCTCCTATACATATCAAGGTTTCTCTTTTAGAGATTTTAAATATTTGCACATACTAAATTTTTATTTTTAGATACGAGACTGTGACCATACACAAATTATCTAACAGTCTATTTGCATACAAGAGAAAACAATATTTTGTTAAATCAGATAAATTATAAGTGTATATGTAAATATACACATATACAAACATACATGCATGCCAAAAAAATGTATCTATTTTATATATATAACGTAAATACAATGCAAATACAAATGTGTGTGTGTTTATATATTTAATTATTTGCAATTTATACATAAAATCTAAAAATTAAGAATTTTTACAACATATAAATTACTCTGAGAATATATCTCATAATATATAAATTAAATATAGTATTTAATGAATTAAATTTTACGCATATCATATAAAGTAAACGACTAATAATAATAAATGAGTATTAAATAAATAAAAATTGAACCATAGATTAATATTTACACATCAATATTACTACATCATATTTGCTCTGTTTGATCTCGAGACAGTTTTGAGACATGATAATATAATTGTCATGTATTAATTTCTGAGAAATTATTTCATATAATCATATTTTTTTAAATTATAATCATTAAATTATATATTAATATAGATACATACCTCCCCACTACTCCTATCATGATTGGTCCTGTGTTCCGAATCCCTGCTCTCACGGCTTCTCTTGTCTTTTGGGGATCGTGCACAATCTACACATATGCAAGCAAGCATGTTACAGCTGAAAACTTTAAGAGACAATTTTGTTTTTATATTGGGAGAAAAAAATATAAATAAAATAAAATAAGAATTGTATTACATCATAACATCATCATAATACCATCATTTATTTATACATTATATGTAGCAATGTTGAACAGAACATTTTATATACTCAATAATATTTAAAAGTATGTTTCTCTCGCTGCATTTTTCTTCCATTTTTCACGATGTAATTCTACTTAATAAAATATTAAGATAGAGAAAAAAATTATTTACCGGAATACTTGTCCCTAGAAGAGGATAATTTATAGTCTCTATTTTCTCTCTCCTTCTTGTAAAGAGGCTTGGATGTGTAATTCCGAGGACTGTCCCGGTCCGTCCCCATGCCCATTCCCAAGCTGCCTGCTGGACTGTAAGAGTTACCATTTGGAGAATCGCGCATTCGCCCCTCGTAGCGACCATCCGACGATGTGGTCGAGGAGGAATAGCCACCCTTAGAACTGCTGTATTTTGCGTTCTATAATCAGATTATTAGCAACAATCACATTATTAGCAACAAACAAAAGATTATAAAAATAATTTAAATGCATAAGATTGCTTATTTCTAGAATTACTTTTCTCATCATGAATGTTAGAAATATTATCAACTATTAGATTCAATATTGGAATAATCAACTGTATCGATTTAGAGTATTCTAATCTGTATACTGTATCAATTCATTTGCTAGAATCTGTATGCATGAAAGAGTAACATGGTAAAAATAAATATGTATAGAAATAATATATAAAGATAAATATATATGATAAAAATAAAAATAATAGATAATTTTATAAAATCTTTGATTCTCCTGCAGAATCCATCAATTATGTTTCTACAGAATCACCAGTGATTACAAAAATTAACCTATTTGTTTATATATTTTTCCTATTAATAAAAATTACAACACGAGTACTTCTTAATATTACTTAAAGTACTTTAAGTTAAATATTCTAAAATATATTGGAAAACTCTCTTTTCAAAGTCCAAAAAACCAAAATGTAATTTCACGATTATTATATTTGTAGTAATTAGTAGATATGCACGTTAAAATGCTGAAAACATGATCGAAACGGGAAGAAATTGATGAAATGCTTAATAAAGTAGCACTTGAATATTCCTGAAGCATATTATCTGTTGGAATAAATTATTGATTTTTCGAAAAGTGAGGTTATGTTTACAAGATTAGCAAGCAATTCCGTGATATCGGAATGTGAAAACAACTGACGATATTTTGATTAATCTTTTCATCTCGTCTGATTAGATTCAAGTAACGATACGAGCATGCATACTTAATTGTTAATTTCACTTAGCGTAAATAATGTATGAATCAAGAGAGAACATCACGACCAACCAATGAGGAAAAAAAAACATGGAAAATCTCTACAATTAATTATTAGTTCTCAGATCTAATAAATTTACCCAAAGTATTTCAACACATGAATTATGAATCGAATTACGATGACACGTCTAATCGAACGGACGTGCATATCGATGAAAACATTGCCATTCGCCGAAACGTCACACTTGTCAAAACCGAGATTCTTCTCGTCTACTTCAAGCTCGTCGTCGCGAAAACGCGCGGATCGCGCGAGTCTTGCACACAAAAGATTTATACAAACCAAATTACCAGCGATTAAGCTAATCGAGACTATTCGACGTTGACCCGGTCGAACCTGTATATGCCGAATGAGAATGAAAATTAAAGCATCGCCGCGAAAGAGGTGGAACGTCGCGACGACGGCGACGACGACGACAACGATGATGATGATGAGCCTGACAGGACGAACATATGCGCGCGGAAGAGGAGCAAACGCGTTCTCGCGGAGAAGACTAACGTCTAGAGAGAAGACTCTCGCCTCGGCGAAGGGTCGCGTCCGGATGATGATGTCGTTCGTTATCGATTCTACGTTCGCGACCGCGAGTTTTTCCTCGCAAGAGAGGAAAAAAAGGACGAGACGGTGGGCCGTCGTGCATATCCCACCCGCTCGCTCGCTCGCGCGCGGCCAGCTGAGAGACGAAATACGAACTTTGATGCTCTCCCGCACGGAAGAGTGCTGTCACTGCGGCTCGTATCCTCCGCGCGAGAACCGGGACGACCTCATCGTTCTATCTTTCTCTTTCTCTCCGTCTTCGGACGCGCAACGATGCGTGAATCGCGGGCGAAAATAATGCGTGCTGTCGACGAGGACGAGGATGAGGACGACGAGCGACGTGAGGCTGCCAGTGTAAGAGAGAATCTTACACCCCCTCCTCCGTACCCCCGATCCACCAATCGCTCCGGCGGTAGCGGATATTATTTACCTGATAGGGATGGGGCCGCTGGTGCGGGTGTGGGGGTGTGGGCGGAGTGGGGCGGGACTTGCCGGATGAGAGGTCGTGGTGATGCCGCCGCGGTGCCACGGGAACGGCGCCCGAACGGATTCCCATCGTCTGTGGAAATTCGTGGAACGTCGTACGGCGGATCGTGGCAGTGAGTGTTACGGTGCGTGTGTACGGTCGAACGAGTCGTACGGACGAATGGACGGATTGTCGGTGACGAGAGGTGAGGAGAGTTTGTGCGGAGAGCGAGAGCGAGAACCAGAGAGAGAGAGAGAGAGAAATGGAGATATATACAGGAGGAAGGAGCAAAAGGGAGAGAGAAAGAAGGAAGGAAGGAAAGAGAGAGAGAGAGAGAGAGAGAGGTTGGTCGTGTGTCAGTATCGGGTATTTGACGGCAGAGCCCTACCCATCGCTGATCCTTTGCGGTTTCCTCGCATGCATTACCATCAATGCCAGTGTCTGTGGGAAATTCGCGGCCTCGGATGTTCCCTTTTCGGTCGGTCAATGTCATAAGAACAACATTAACGCTTATTTAGCAGTTAACTTTCTTTCTACCCGGACGCCATGTCACATACGTGCTCGGCCGCTGCCGTGCGCGCCGGCGCTACAGACGAGGCGCTCGCGTCACGACGCGTCGACAGCCGACCAGTGGTGGGGGATTTCGGCTACGTTCAGGGACGTGGGAATACTCGCGCCAACATTGTCGGTCCCATAAATATTATACCCATCAAAACTAAACCTCCTTCGCTGATAAACCAATTTGTTTGATGAAATGTATAAATGTAAACTGTATAATGTGTACGAGAAATGCGCGAATACACATAACATATATACAGATAACATATCTAACGTGACGAGGAACCATTTAATTGTTAACACGAGTACAATAAAACGAGTCGCGATTAATTTGTCGCCTAAACACAATCTCGATAAAAAAATTATACTTTACTTTCATGAAAACGATCAAATTTAACTTCGCGAAAGTATGTTATCACTACGCATCGTGGTCCTCGTGAAAATTGACACGTACCTTACCTTACCCACGACGGATGTTTCGCTCAGATTCACGGGATCTGCGATCACGGCGGCGTCGAGGAAGACAACGACGCGAGGCGCCGCGTTCCCTCGTTTGCGTCCGCGCAATCATCGTCGCAAGAAGGGGTCTCCGTGCACGCGAGAAAAAAGCATCGTACGAGCTCTCGACCGATAGGCGGCGCCACGTCACGAGAGAGCGTTGGATGATTTCCCGTTTTCACGCATGCGTGCCGAATGCGGTGTCACTGAAGCAGTTGAAACTAGTGATAAAGATTAGTTGGAAGCCTTTGGAAAATGAATTAAAAATGCGAAATAAAAGCGATAATGTACAAATTATATTATTAATTCATTTACTTACGTAGTTACTTATTGTTAGCTTAAATCTCCACGAGATCCCGCCAAAATTTAAGTGTCCGTCACATATACGTCGCTGTAATCGCCATCGTTATGTCGCGCATGCGTGAAGATGGAAGATGCAAGCCCGCTAGTACACTGGATATCTGTTCGTATTGTCATCGTCGCTACGTCGATTACGAATAAACGCGTATTATCCATTTAATAATCACGAATCAAGAATGCCACGCTTCTTCGAAACATTCGGAAAGTCGACTTAGCATCACCATCACGCGCGACACATGAAAAGCAGCCGTTGAACATAGTGCTTGCTTCGAATAATCCTGACGCAACTCTGAAGAGACACCGGCCAGGAAGAGAACTCGTTTGCGTCCGGGAAGAGAGATCTCGCACATTTCGTGGAAGATCATCGTTATGACAAATTTGCGGTAAACATTATAAGACGGACATTCTTTCTTCCAGATAGTTTAAGTTCGTCTCTTTTATCTTTTGCCGCAAGCACGCGAGTCCTTCGTGTCTCTTACCCGAAGATATCATGTGTCATAATGGTATATTAATATCCGTGCAGCGATATAATGTTGCACGTGATACGATTTTTACAGCAGAGAAATTATTTAGACTTGAAATGCCTTTCTTGAATATATTTTTGTTTCTTGCTACTATTTTACTTTTAATAATTTGATTTTTGCAACAATTATTATATGGATTCGCACTTAAATAATCCGTTATATAGCTGCTATTAATTGCACAAATTGAAGTATTTTTTATTTTATGCATTAGATATATTAAAGGTAGATATATGTGTACAAGACTTATATTGGAAATCTAATTCTTGATATTGTAAATTGATATTTCATTATATATATATATATATATATATATATATATATATATATATATATATATAGAAAAATTAATAATATATTAATTGTGCAAGTTTTTATTATTAATGATATTCATCGTGATATTATAATTATATAACAATGAAGATAAATATATCTTAAATTTTTCTAAATTTTACTTATTGTTAGTTGATTTATTTGCTCATATATAGATGCAACTATATTATTAAAAATAAAATGTAAATTTAAGATATTGAATATAATGACAAATTTTCTAATTTTTATGCTGTATATATTACAAACTTTTTTAACACTATAAGTGAAAGTTTACTTTTAGAATTCTTTGTAATAATATAGTTTTGATACAAGTAGCACAAATTTCCTTGTTTCACTTAAATTAATACAAAATAAGGATTTTGTTGAGTAATATATCTTTTTATTATATTAATTATTATTAAGATAATTTGTTGCAAAATCAACAAGTTATAATTGCAGAAAACTTGTGTCATAAGGAAACTACAGAAGAAGATATGGATACAATTTCTTTATCTGAAAATGACAGAAATAGAAAAAAACATTCAAAAACTCAACAACTGGAAAATAAAACAGTCAGTGATAATAATGAAGAAACCTTTCCATGGTTATTAGAATTTAATAAAAGTGTATGTTCATCTGCAGGAAATAGGAATTATCAACATCTCAAACGATTACTTTTGTTCTATACCCAGTGAGATAATCATTTATATTTTAATTAATCAAATCTAATATAATATTTAATTATTAAACATATCTACTTTTTACAAGTAGAAATTTTACATGTTATTAGATTATACATCTTGGCAGTTTTAGGAAACAAAAAATATCTAATATTTGTGATTGCATTTATTTCAGGAATATTCTTTCTAGTATGGAAACAAACAATGTTAAGTTTGACGATGAAATTAATTTAAAAGACAATATTAATAATATATTGATTTTCTTTCACTTATATTGGCTTGATATAAAACAGGTATTGTATGTTTTAATTATTCTTTTCTTTTTCATATATTTGTCAGTTTTTTGTATAATTTGTTCCTATTATTTTTTATCCATGTAATATTGATGAAAAATGAAAAAATTGACATAAACATTTATAAAATCATGTGATTAAAGAATAAAATATTCTCAAGATTGATCATGCTCTTATTGCTATGCTTGACTCTTATTAGCCTATTTTTTTCTTTTTTTTAATTTATATCATTGTGTTTAATTATCTTTATTATTTTTGTAAAATTAGTGTAAAAATTATGTGATACAATTCTTAATTTTTTATATTCAGGAGATAGCTGATCATAGTTTGTATTTAAATAAAATGTCAGCATTATTGAGTATATATATAAATGTGGAATTAAGAATTTCTCGAAAAAAAAATGTAAAGATTCTTGCAGCATTGTATACATACTTAAGTAAGTATATTAACAAAAGACTGATTTTATACAGACCAATTACATCAATATCATATCTAACATTAAATTGCTTACAGATAATTCGGAAGAGCATATTTTCAGGGTATTACTTAGGATTAAACATATGACAAAAAAATGTACACAAATTTGTAATCATATATTTGTGTATGTAAATATTTACTTTAACACGTTATATTATAATAAATAAATTTGTGTATTATAAAAGATATTAAAGTAATAGGCTATTATATTTACTACACAGGAAGAGCTTCGCTAATCTCAAGATAAAAAGGAAGTCCTTAACAGATGTAACTTATATTCGATATTTGCTCGTCTTTAAAATGTGGAAGAAAATAGAAAAGCTTTCTGATAAAAAAGAAAAAGTTGATGAATTAGCTTTAAAGCTGCTAGGACCGTATATGCCAAAATTGCGAGATGAATTATTAGAATTTGTCCCTAGACCACCTATAAATCGGAAGGATGAAACGTTATGGTTATTACAATCAAATTCATTTAATTTAGAGCAAGTGCATAAAAATTTTCTACTATTTGAAGATAAAATGGATGAACATTTTTCGCTACATGAAGATCAAATTGATAAACATTCTCTGCTGCCAGAAGATAGAATTGACAACTCTGCAGATTTACAATGTACCAAGGCGGTTTACCTTGGTCAAAAAAACTGCTTAAAGTCTCAGGTAATATAGTTCAATTAACATTTCTTTATTTTAAGTTATTTATATGTGTAAATCTTTGCATTTGTTATATAATAATAATGCAAATAGATGGAATAATACTTTTTCAGAAATATGGATTTCTGAAACAGATGGATTTACTACATCGGAGCAATCCTAACAGGAGTAATCTTACATCTAATCAAGAAAAAAATAAAGATTTAAATAGTTTGCAAAACAATAATATGCCACTAGGTATTAAAAGAAAATCTTCAGAACAAATATATCTGCCAAAAAAGAAAAAAAGAGGCCTTAAATCAAAAAAAGTGAAAAATAAGAAAGAAGAAGAATCAAGGAAAGTTATAATTATTGATTTAACTGGAGATGATGAAATAAGTGTTCCTTGTAAAAGAAAAGGGATTAAACATAATTTGAAATTTTTGAAAATCATGAAAGACATTATAAAAAATAAAAAGTATATCAATACTTTAAAACATTCCAGTAAGTTCATAACAAGTATGAATGAAAAGAGTTCTAATAGAGATAGAAAAAGCACAGCTGAAAAAGTTTTGGAACACAAATTTAATCTTAACAGCAAAATTAGTGATAATAAGAGTTATACTTCAATTAGCAACAAATATTCATTAAATATCAATTTTCAAAAAAGTGAACATTTAAAGTTTGATCAGGATAAAGAGTCCAAAATTATGACAAATGTATTGAAAGGAAGTAAACCAGAAAATGATGTATCATCACATATGACATGTATGACAGAAAATGCAATAGGCTTATATAATAATACAATGACACAAAAAGAGACGTTAACCTCTGAAGAACAAATGGACACTATACCTTATGGACCTTTATTGAAAATGTGTCAAAGTGATATTGTGGATTTTTTCAAACAGGAAATACCAATAACAAATTGTGATGCAATGCAATCTTATAGTTGGAAAATGTCACAAATAGTATGTCATCAACTTAACAAATGTGAAGATTGTAAAAAAATTTATTCTAAATCATTCATATTTCCTGACAGTACCACACAAGAACATAGTACATTTACTAAGAATGATGTCAAAGCTTGTGGCAATATAGTTTACATAAAAAGCAACACACGTTGCGTCATTATGCCTCATAATGATGATATCGTGACGTGTTGTGATATGCATAAGAAAGAAGAAAGAATGCAATGCCAACATGATTCTAATGACATGTATACTACATTCACTGAAGATCAAATAAAGTCGTCATTAGATAATCAGAATATTAATCTTGATGATAAAAGGAAACATGGCTCCAAACATTCCGAAACTGCAATAAAGCCACAACAGGCAAAAAGCGATTGCGATATTTTATTGTCAAATGATCAATTACCTCCCACTGAACATTTTTTTTCTTATATAGATTCCGAATATTCTAATATGGATTCAAAAGAAGCTAATGAAATAATGGAGACTTATTGTAATGGAGACTTATTATTAAGCGAAAACATCAGTTCCTTCGATAATCAAATTGGAATTTTGGAAATTCTAGAAAACATGTCGAACAAAACCACGAACTTTTTTCAACAATCTCCATTTGAATCAGATCATATACATACAAATACATTTTTAAGCGAAAAGGATATTTTATGCAATAATCAAAACAATGCTATTAACGCTACAGTAAATTCAATAACATTTGAATAACCTAACCGATTAACAGCTTTCTATCATTTATCAGCAAAGTCTGATAAATTCAATACGTTAGTACATCGTAAATTGTCAATCCAAAATGTCTCGCACAACATCTTTAACTAATTCAAATATCGCATTTTTAGGTTTCCAAGAAGACATGGAATTTTAATACTCTTTTTGATAAGTTAAATAACGATGCCTTAATCAAGCATTTTTTATATTCACAAAAAGGAAGATATTAAAGGTTCTTTTACATCCTGAAGAACAGATTAAACTAATCTTAAATGAATTTTGTGCTTCCAAGAATATGTCGTTAAATTTATTAACAACTTATTTAATGTCAAAGGAAATATTCTGCTTCCAATGTTATACATTAAATACATAAAATATATATTTTCATCTTTGGATAATCTCTTCCAGTTAAATTTTAATAAGATGGTTAATCCAAAATTCATGGATCATAATTTGTGAAGATCACACTATAAGAAACAAGCTCAGATATAATAAATTATTATTTATTAAAGAAGCACACGTCCATTCCAGCTATTGAAGAAAGAGATTATAACAACAATTTGAACAAAACGTTCTGATATTTACTAAAAAGTTTCTTGAAAAATCTCAAGTCTTTTGAGAGATGAATTAATTTTCTAAAAAATCTATTCTGAATATATCCACTAAGATCTGTCTCAATAAATTATTTAACTATCATAAAGAGGATATTCTTGCTTGGAACATCACGAATATTAAATGTGAATTTACTTTTAACACAATCTTAATAGCAATTCAATTAAAATCAAATCACGACAAAATATAACTGAGAAAACCATAGATCATAAATTAATAAATATTATTAAGGAGAGTAAACTTAAATACATTGAATCATTTATTGAAGAAACATCTGGGAGGAAGAAAAGAGTTGCACCTATGATTTTGTTTCTTCTAGATACTAATAAGATTTTCTATTACATAAATCAGTATGTTCAAAAGAGATTTTTCTTCCTGCAATGTAAAAGGTAATTGAATTTATAAGTCTAATATATTATATTTTATCATTTTATACATTATTTACATATTTATAAAATTTGTAACATCACAGAAGAGTATCAAGAATATCTTTGAAGATCACATCTTTTTGTATCACAAAAGATATATTTTAAAAAATCCTATTATGAAGAGAAACTTATGTTCACATATATAATAAGATTATAAAGTATTTTCTAAAATGTCAATATTTAATATTATTTATTGAATTATACAAGTTTTTATTTCACGTTAAATAACATAATGATGTAATACTTATTAAAGATTAAATATAAAATTATAATGATTATCAAATATGTAGAACAGAATGGTAATATAGAAAACAAATGTAAAATCAAAAGCATTATCTAAAATAATATTACTCTAATTAAATTGAATATATTGAACAAATTAAATTTTGTATTTAAAAAATAAGAATTTTTAATATGCCAAAAATTGTGTTTTATATAGAAAGTAATATTCATATTTAATAGTTTGTGATACTTGAAACATGATATTTTTATGGCATTTGTACTAGATCGCACATGCATGTATTTCACAAAATTATTATAAAATTTTTAAATTATTTAAAAATAATTAAAAATTGTATAGATAAAAGAAAAGACTGCACTGAATAAAGATGTATGTATATGTGAGAATACAATAATTATCGATGTTTATATTGAAAATCTTACATATACATCTTACATGTATTAAGTGACATTTTATTTTTATGATAATACATGCCATTTTATAATTCGATGATTTCTATAATATTAATTTTTTTATTTTACTTACAGAGAATTTATATATAGAAGAGCAAGAAATAATGCAGTGGGTGAGTGTAACCTATATTAGATTGTATAAAACTTCTCAATCTAAAATTTTGTTATCTTCTTGTAGGTGAATAATTTAAATTTACAAAAAACATTTTTTATTCGTGAATATATTGATAGAAATATATTAAAGAGAATCTATACAAGAGAAATGGAAATGATTGCAAAAAGTTAATTTTGGAATATATACTAAATATTTTATAATTATATCTTCATAGATATATTGATTTACAATTAATAACTTATTATTAATCCTTCATAGACATTAGATTCTTTTTTTAGAGATAGCAAATTTCAGTATGAGAATATACGTTTTCAGCCTTTGTGGTCCAAGCTTTTTAATGTATATGTGTATGTGTGTGTATGTATGTATGTATGTAAAAGTATTTCAAATTTAAATTATTTTTATAGAGAGATTATATTTAAAAACAAAGAATATTATATTCTATATTTAAAGCACTTTAGACATGCTTAAAAGATATATATATATATATATATATATATATATATATATATATATATATATAAATCTACCCAGAATAATCTAAATTTTCTTTGACAAGGACATTGTGAGTGATTCTATATTGTGAATATAGATGCAGAATTGTGGACTGCAAAGGCTTAAAAGTAATAAAGAAATCTTCCTTATTATTTGCATTTATTACAGCATAATCGTTTATGATGCTGAAGAAATCGGCAATTTTTAACTGCTTGCATAATGCAAAATCTCACAATTTGACGATTGAGATAAATTTGAACATACTGATAAGATACAAATTATTATTATTATATATCTTAATAACTCCCAAGTTTATACAGTTAAATACACGATGTCACTATAATTTCATACAATTACTCAAACATGATCTATGGATTAGGAATTTGCGCAGAGGCAGTGCTACTTTAATTCATACTTCATTGCTGATTCTAAAAATTCTAATCCTATAATCACATGTGTTTAAAAAAAGTACTTTTAACATATCTTCCTTTATAGCTATTTTTTGTACATGTTATGCGTATATATTATTTCATAGTTGCATTTAAATAGTAAATAAATATAAAATAATGCAAACAAGGCACATTATGAAAAATAAAAAATCTACGAAACTAAATACTTTAGTGATCTCATCTATGCTAGTTGTAGTTTTGGAGTATCGTTTTATTGCAGAAATTTTATAGAAATAACTATAATGAAAAGAGTTTAACTACAAGAATTTATATTTAAAGAAAAATATGCAGAATATTTTATTTTAAATTTTAGATAAGACAAAAAATAATTAAACTCGGAATTGATACTTTCCGAGAATATATTCTACAGTATTGAATGATCCCAAAATATTTATAGTATTTTACAAAGTCATCCCATAAATAATTTCATATATTATATATCTATTATATTTTCCTTGATAGCTTTTTAATTATTAATGAGATAATAGTACGATATATGCAATAATAATAAAATATAGAAGTATAAAAAAGTGCATAAAATATTCATTTTTATGTAATTTATTTTTAGTGTTTTTCGGCGTATAAAAACTACTATATTTTGTACGTTTTAAATTTTATTATTATGTATATTGTATATCGTTTTATTTTAATTGAATAATTCAAAGCATAATTAAAAGCAATCTCATGTGTATACAAATATTATTTAACTTTGTAATTATTAGATAAAACTTGAAATTTATAATATCTATTGATATGAGGTTGATAAATTCTCTATACAAAGAAGATTTTTGTAATATTTCACATTTTGAAGTGTTTAATCCGTTGTATATTTCTATTGATACCTAATATGGAGACTGATTTTATGATATATTCTCTCTATTATATATTTATTAATAAATCCTCTCGAGATAGAGGTATTTATTGCTAGTTGCTAATATTAAAAAATGTTTTGGCATCTGACAAAAGAGCATGTTATATATATATAGATTATGATGTCAAAAATATAGATGCTTGGATTTGTACATGAATAATTTCTGTAACTGATAGAATTTATAAAATAATGATATAAATACCTTGCTTTTAGTTAATAAGTAGGTAGAATCACTTTAAAAATCTGCTTGCATTTTCTTATTCCTGACACCATAACGAAAGATGCTTTATATAATCTACCTTTATGGAAAATCAGTCATTCTTTTTTACTTTTTCTTATATTTTATTTTTGTAAATTTTACATAAGTAAAATTAATACTTATCATATTACAGCTACAAGAATAATTTATTTTTTTTATACTAAATTTTTCTTAAATGATTTAGATGCATTTAGTACAAATATTGTTTTAAAAAATTTTATAATTCTAGCGAAATATAAAAAAAGGAAAAACCTAGTTGTAAATGCTGCGAAATAAATATGCACTAGCTATTTTCTAAACTGCATGAGTATAAATTGCAGAGAAGAAATTATTTTATATCTCCAAAGTTAGCTCTAGGAGCATATATATATATATTCTTCTAGAGCAGAATGACCATATATATATATATATATATATATATATATATATATATATATATATATATAAATTTGAGCATTATGCTCCATGCAATATAATATAAAGTGCATATAAATATAGCGTAGGAGTTTATGATAATCTATATATGTATAACTTATATTTTTACTGTAAAAATCTTTACGTATACATTTTCGAAAGAACCAGATATTTAAAAAAAATGTACAATTTAATTCGAAAGATTTAGTTATAACCAGTAGATAGATAAATAAAATATGCATTTTTTAACAAAGATTTATCGAAATAATTTTATTAGTTCTCTATAAATGAACGCGGTATCCTGATAAACATATTTTAAAAATTGTCTGGATATATTTTGACTTTATATCAAATAATGGACACGCAAATTACAAATAAACACCAATTCTCACATAAGCAATAACGCATTGTTTCATCATAGGATGAATTATCTAATTTGGAAACAATTTATTTTTTGGGAATGGAAGTTTCAAATCTGTTTTTTTTATTACATTATATTATACATGTTTTTGTCAAATGTACATGTGTTAACCGTTTAAGATATAATTCTAATCTTTCTCTGTAAACTTTATAGTAAGATGTTATTTGTTTACAGTTATATATTTTAGGCCTAAGAAAGAACACAACTGTATCTTCTTCTAGTCATCCTTATATACAAAATATTTATATAATAAATACTATATGTATATGTAACATATATTATGTAAGGAACTTTTAACAAATTTGTTAAAAAAATGTTATAAAGTTGATTATACAGAGTGTCTTTGAACTATAATACAATCGAAAAGAGGGTTGTATTAAATAATAAGTAGCAATTAAAAAATACAATTTTTTCGTACAAAAAAGTTTCGTTTTCTGAAGAAAAGTATCATACGGAAACTATTTATTCTACGTCTACATATTTTTTCACGAGAAAGTTCTCTTTTTGCTTATATCGCCAGTTTGAAGATACGCTGTATAGGAGTTTGAAAATAATATATTACATCTATATGGAATACTATATCTGTCGTAAATTGCTGAAATGCAAATTGTTTCTTTGTCAAATATCAAAATGAAAAGAAAGAAAAATAGAATATGTTTAGGTAATGCTTTCATACGTTTTCAACATAGGTTTCCTTGTTTATCATTCATATTGTACATAAAATATTCAAATATACAGTTTGATTAATAAAGATATTGGAGCACTCTTTATGAGCCATATAGTTTTGTGATTATTGTATTTTCTAATTTTACTAAATTCAAATTATTATATACATAGTATTAATATTTTCTACAAGAGATTATTCATAAATCTTTATGTAAGTCCGACAATAACTGTAAATCTGCGATAAATTATTATAATTTTTGATTCTGTGTGTACAAAGATTGTATTGTGATAAGTTAATTCACGATGTACAACAAATGCAGAGACTGAAAAAAAGAATAAAAGTTGAATTTTTAATATAGTTAATCGAATTATTTATTTATTACGCGCAATATTTTATACAATTTGAAATCTTGATGTTTAACTTTGAAATATTTAGATAATCTATATTTTCTTGTAAAAAAAATTATATTATATTAAATAAAATACACACACACACATATATATACAGGATGTTTCATAAGTGGTGGGCAAAATTTCAGGAATGGATTCCTCATGCTTAAAGAAAAAAAAAATTATTCAAGGTCATTATTATAGGTCCGGAAATGATTAGTTTTTGAATTATTAAGATTTTTGTAATACAAAATTTTGTCTCATTTCTCGTCTTAGAAGTCTTTTTACAGGCATCAACAACGTTGCCGAACTTGAAAAACATTGTTGACATGCCTGTAAAAGGACTTCTAAAACGAGAAAAAATTTGAGACAAAATTTTGTATTACAAAAATCTTAATAACTCAAAAACTAATCATTTCCGCATCTTGTGTGTTGATGTTGATTAACTTTTTTTTCTTCTCTAAGCATGAGGAATCCATTCCTGAAATTTTGTCGACCACTTATAAAACACTCTGTATATATGTATGTATGTGTGTGTGTGTGTGTGTATTGTATGTTCATTAAAATGCAGAATTTTCATTTGGTATTTGTATGCAAGATTATTAAAATTACTATTATTTTTAAAGCATTCAATTACATTTTCTCTTATTATATATTTCTTTCATTGTATATTTATAGATATTTGTTTATTATTATGTTTGTATATATGTCCATGTATATGGAAACCGGTACTACAATTCCCTTAATCTTTTGTTTGCATGGAAAAATAACATTGCAATATATATAATATGGCATGATTAATATATACTTAAAAATATATTTACAGATCTTGGACAGTGATGTACTATTAGTATAATAAAAGCCGTACATTTTTAAATTGGAAAAAAAGTTATAATAATTATATATTTACCTGTATAAAAAAAAATTAATATATAATTAAGAAAGGTATCTGTGTAATTATATAAACTTAATGAGCATTATATAAGCATGCCGAATATTTTTCGTTTTTACCCTGTTTATAGAGAAGTATAGTACATTCTAATTTTAATAAGTATACACACTTATGTAAAATATTATAACTTTGATGCCACAAGCATCTCTCAAAAGCATATTAACACATTTACCCTGTTGAAAGTTTTTAACATTTCTATTCTTATTTTATAGTATAATAGTGATGAATCTAGTAGTTCAGTTGAGTATAATAGAGGTAAATATATTAATATTTTCATATGTGTAAGTATATTTACCTCGATTTTTGCGGTTGACATTTTATATAATGCACAATATAATGTACAAATATAGATAAATACAGATTTATTTATCACTTACGAAAGAGATGTTCTACGCATACACAATACTGAATTTTTGATGAACACGAATTAATGAGGCATCCGATGTAAAGTATTTTACTATACTAACTTGATTAATATTAAAATGTCAGACTTTCTCCTTTTTTTAATAAATGCTTTATGCGCATACAATAATTTATTTATGATTAGTGATCTATTTATATTCTCAATCCATATGTGTGTATGAAGACTTTTGGCAATTTTGACGAACTAATTGTTTATAGATATATAGTATGTAACTTACTTAGTTTTATTTGTGTTAAACTTAAGCCTATCAGACTTATCGCATATTATAAATTAATAAATAAATAATAACAATAAGACATTCGGTAATGAAATAGATGCGCCTTTTTTTCAGTCAAGTATGGACACAGCAATTTAAAATTTAAAATAAGAAAACAGTACTGTAATAAACGTAAAAGAGCATTCTACAAATTAACAAATTCTCTAACTACAATCATTTTTACGAAGATGAATAAATGTACAATAATACAAGTGTGACAGTGACAAGTAATCTATCAAATAGACTACTTAATAAGGTACATCTCCTTTTGTACAACAAAATGTTAGCTACTGTTTAGCTAAAGATCACAGATATGAGATCAGGTATAGGGATATGGCACTGAAGTTATGCATTTACTTGAACCAAATCTATATACCCCGAAACAATTAAAAATGTAGTTAGAACATTCGTATTAGGATAATATAGAATAATAGTATAGAATATAGTAGATGTGTGCTGACTGGTTCAGGTTTAACACAGGGACTCTTGCAGTATGATTTAATTTGCTCAAATCGAATACGTATTATAGAAGGAAAAAAAAGAAGAAAAAAAGAAGAAAATTTAATACACTAATAGATATTCTGAAATTATTAACATAGAATATTAATATACAGTTCATGTGTGAATGAACATGAGCAGTTTTAAGCTTAGATGTTTACAATATATAGCATTTAAAATATATCGTTTTTAGAAATTTATCTAATACAACAGTTAAAATTTAATATAATTTAATTAAATGACACACCCACACACGCACACGCACACACACACACACACCCACACACAGATACATATACATATATATCATTAATGTTAATCAATTCTTAAAATAAGATTCCAGATATATAAACTGAAATATTGAATAATTACATAGGAACAAGCTACACAATGCTTATTAATTGTAAAGCTTTTCTATCTTGGTAACTATACAATATCTAAATTGTGCATTTTCCTTGCATGCTTCAGTTTTATTTATCAAGCTCGATTAGGTCATTGTAATTTTTTTAGAATACCGCGCATGGCTCGTATTTCACGAACGAAAGATGGACATTCGTACAAGAAAAATATACGGATTACTTTCATAATTATATGTAGCGTACTATCTCTTCTTTTTTCTACGAAACCTGAAGTTTTTTTGTTATCGTATGAATCGTGGCTAACTATTCTACTTCTCTTTTGACAGATACCTGTATGTATAAATTTATATTAAACAATAGCTTTTTTCCAATATATATATAATAGAGGACTGCATATACATATAAATATATTATATATATATATATATATATATATATATATATATATATAAACATATATGTAATAAAAGGGCAGATTACAAAGTGGAAAAAAAGTTAAACATTTCCAATGTTTATAATTGTACGGCAATACAAATAATTTTGTATAATTCGGCGAATTTATTGACATTATATGCTTGTATTAAACACTTGCCCAAAGTTACTCAAGAGTTTAAGCGGGTAATTAATCTGAAATACAAAATAAGAGATATATGCTATAAAAATATATATAAACCCTGTATACATATACCTTTAAAAAATGTAAAATAAATATAAATTGAAAACCTATTGTCAATATTATAAACAATAATTCAATAACATCCAACTATAAAATCTAACATCTAAAATCTTGTTACCAGATTTATGGTACAAGTATGTGCATATATATATATATATATATATATATATACCTAATTATATACATAATTACTATAGAATTACCTATGCAAATATGTTCCTGACACATGGTATATCCTGTGCTTTTAAAGTTGCATTTTAAATTTTATACACTCATAATTTTCAATTATCAATCTGGTCGTCATTCCTGAATTTAAATTTGTTTTCTTCAGGAACCTGAAAAAATTCACACTTATAAATCATAAATATTATTCATGTAATATAAGATATATGATAATAATATTTTTAATGTTTTTCCATTGTAAGGATTGAAGTTGCAATACATTAATAATTATTAAAATTAAAATAATAATTATATAACTAATAAATTATATACAAACATATTTATATATAATATTTGGATACATATTTTGTCATTGAACTCTATACATATTGGAATAAATCATCGAGGAATGGAAATAGCATAACTTTGAGAAAAAGACCCAACACTGTGTTTTTTTCTCCAATATGTATTCCCCCTTCCTTCCCGCACTAGCTTTGCTTAAACAAAGGGATGATTCATTCTAATATGTATAGCTTTCAATGGATTTTATTGATGTAATTTATATATTTTTTTTAATAACATGCTTTATGTATTAACAAAATAATTCATTAAATTATATTACTATTATATAAAATTATTATATAAAATTATTAGTAATGATATAAAAGATTTGTCATTCTATTTTATCTATCTAAATTTAACATACCTTACCTTAAAAATGATATTACTTTGTTTTCATGTTTCTATGTGTTTGGCATTGATTATATATATATATATATACATATTTATATGGAAAACTATACAGAAACTTTAATCTTATATTTTATAGAAATTTAAAAAAAAATTTATGATTGAGAAAATTATAGTTATGATGTTGCTGTGCAACCACGCGACAATAGGAAAACATTAAAATTGAAATATTAACTTACAAATATTATCTTATAAAGCTTTATCTTATATACAATATTGCAAGGTAGAGATGACGTTTAATGGAATAAAATTCTCTACAACTTGCTTCTAGCGATATCTAACTAAACATCAAAAATATTTTACGCAGAAATCTTCTATGCAGCTAGTCTACCTCTTTGCCCATACTAATCTTGAACACGCTCAACGGTCTATCTCTAAAAATCTTCCTAGGACGCGTTATTTTTTACTTCTGCTTTGTACATATATTTACAAATTTACAGTGCCACACAGCTTAAAGAACACATTTATCCATTCTGTACAGATTGTTTTTCTTTCTTTCTTTCTTTTTTACAGCAGTGACTTCTCGTAATGAAATAGTATTGATCATCGACTAGTCTTCTTACGCCTTCGTTTTGACTCACCGGACGGATTCCATTCTGGATCAACATCGGTGTAACAATAATTTACCTTAGGAACGTTTCTCTTTGAGCTTCTCGTTTGTCTAATAGATGACTGCATTTTTTTCGCCTTCTTACATGTGCTATCCTGCTCCATCGTCTCCGTCGTTATACGTTTCAGAGATATCGGATTCGTTGCTGTCACATCTCTGCGCTGCATAGGTGTTTTAAACGTTCTGTCTTGACAACGTTCTATACAGACTGTATTAGATTGATCGCCGTTTGATCGAAATTGGCGTTCGTGATTCCTTGTACTTTCTTTCACAAGATTGCGATGTGCATTAGAAATATGGATATCTTTGCAGTAATCCCTTCGCACTATATTCGAATTGAAATGATAGCTGCCATGCGAATTATCTTCCTCTTCGGTAGGGGATAATTCGTACGATGATTTGATGATTTGCGCAGGATGCTTCTGCGAGCTATTTAATGCTTCTAAGGCTGCTATGGACATCATGGGAATTGCAGGATAGTTATCTAATTTTTCCGTCTTGATGGGTATCTTTTCGTACACCATGGACATCATGGCGTGAGCCTTCAGTCTCTTTTTCAACGGCAATTTGTTCTCCATATCTTTCTTGAATAACTTATCCGGTTCTCTTTGCACGTCCAGTTTTTCCAACGTATTATTTTGTAGCGATACCCTCTGTTCTATTTTACGCAGCATTATCTGCTGATCGTCATACAATTTACTTATTGCCGCTTCGCTTGTTGTCTTATCGTGCTCTTGGACGGCGGATGTTTGTACTGACGAATGCGTGGGCAAAAAATAAGAATTACTTTCAAGGCAAGACACATGGGAATCTGTTGCAGGGTGTATACACTGTCTGCAATGCGCGACTATATCGTACGTACAATTTAGGCATGAGCAGTGCGACCTACCGCATGCATTGGCGGATTTTGTATGAGAATGGAGCGAAGTAGTAGAATTAATTTGTAGACTACACGATACGGAAGTGCAATGCTTGTGATACGGCATACACAGATCTGTACCGGCAGCGCAATTCCCGTAAATCGAGGATATCGTTGTGGGATGAGTGACTGGAATATGTAATGAATGCTGCGAGTCAATCACCTCGTGCGGATGCGTATGTATTCCGTTGCATCCTTGTATTCCGCAATTTGCCGTAATATGATTGCTAAACTCTTGCTTAATGTTTTGCCTATAAGTAAGGATGGATTTGGATTTTCGTTTATCGACCGACTTGCTGCTGATGCTCACATTCGCAACATTCGTGTCCTGATAAATCTGCGATGTCGCAGGTAATGTCACGTCGGCCGACAATGAATTTTTCTTACCGTAAGATTTCATTTCCGTAATATTCATCAGATTACTCTCTTCATCGGGTTCAATTTTTATACCCTTGTTCCTGCTGACGGAAAACTTATTCTCTTGGCATGATAATTCCTTGCCGTATTGCGGGAGATCCAAATTAAAAGAAATGTGCTCCGACGTATTAACGACTTCAAACGATGTACAATCTTCCGGCGGGATCATCCAACTTTTCTCCTTAACTGGACAATTCTCATCATCGCTATTGTGATCTCGTGCGTTTTCCACTGCCTTATTAATGATGTACAAATTACTATTCGGGGACTTTTGTAAGAGCATGACTGTTTCCCCGTTTAATATTACGTTCGTATTTTCCTTTATCGACTGTACATTGTTTTCTACTATATTTAAATTGTTAGGCAACGTGTCCGTTTCATAATTTATAGTGGTTTCAACGATGCGCGGAACGCTATTATTGCTTGGATCGTTTCCGCGATCGTCGGGATTTATATCAGTTGTTGACGTTACTTCAACATGAAGCGCTACTTTATCCAATGCATCCTCCGGACAAATTCCAACTATTTTATTGATAACGTCAGCAGTTGGATTTTCCAAAATCTGAGAAACTATATTCGATGAATCGTTGGTATCGACATCATCGTCGGTAGTTTGATTGTAAGAAGAATTTCTCAACGATGCGTAATCCTTCACTTTGATTTGTTCGCATTGCAACTCAGCTTTTAAATGAGATACATGTTGACATGTTGACTCAATAACATTGGCTAATAATGAAAGTCCGTCCATGTTATCCTGCAATTCTGAATCTTGAATGATACATTTATCTTCCGATGAATTTTGAATGCTTTTCGTATGAGTATGTATTTCATAGACTCTCTTTAGTAGTTTACGATCATGCATATAGTCAAGATTATGAAGATCTTTCTTATCAACTTTTGTGCGCAGTACAGAAGACCTTTTTAATTCTTCTACATTATGTTCTTTATTACAATTTCCTTTGGATTCGAATTCTTCATCTTCCTTATCTGTTTTCAGGTCGATATCTTTTCTATCGTTAACTCGTTCATTTTTTGAACACAGTGACGCATTGAAGATATTAGAAATATTTTTCTTATCAGCTGTGCTATTTTCAAAAATAGTTTCTCTGATTTTATGGTTAGGGATTTTGCTATTTCTTAAGTTATCGCTTACTTCGATGCAAGTGTCAACTTCTAAATCTGTTTGTACATTAGAATGGTCTCCATTCGTTATACTAAGACTTATAGTATTATTTGCAATATCGCGCTTTTCTGATACATATTCATCCTGAGACTCAGGCTCCTTTGGTTTCTCTATATTTTCAGTAACGCATAGTTGTTGTAACCGTTCAGATTCTACCGCATTACTTATTGATATCTCTGGATTATTTATAATTGTTGTAGCAAAAGTTTCAACCGTCATTGTAGAAACTGCAAGTTTTTCTTTATTTAAAGCATTGTCGACTGCAGTTGATTTCGAGCACTGCGTTTTGTTACTTATTAATTCATGATCATGTTCTTGCACAGATTTTTCATTGTTAGTGAAATCATCTATTGTTTTATCAATCGTTTCATCCTTTCCGTTATTTGTGTAATGCATATGTAGCGAAGATGAAATTACATACAAAGATTTATCTTTAGTTGTACTAAGATAATTAGCATTATTATTAGAACCCACATCTTCATCTTTGGAATTTTGAGTACATATCGCAGGGAGAATATTTACAGTTTTAGAGTGCTCTGTTCCTAAATCACAGATTTTCCTTAAACTTTCAACCTTTTTACATTTTTCACTTTCAGGCGAAGTATCCTTTTCTAGCAGTCGTTTAATCACAGTCGTCTGTGCATTATGTCTATTGTTCATTTTTTCACTATTCCTTGCCTTCAAAATAGTATCAACATCATGGCATTTGCTATTAGTGTCATTTGAAACATTCAATAACAATTTTGTAGAAGCTTTAAATTTATTAGACTGTGGTTTATCAACGATTACAGAAGATGAGACTGTTTGAGATACTCCAACAATTTTACTTTTGTCACTGCTGTTCGCATCTACTGATTGTTTTGTAGATGTTGCATAACCTGATGTACTCCTACATTCTGTTTCCAGTTGTTGCATGGATTTTATTTTATCATTATCTAGCTTTATGTCCCATATTGCAGATTCACTCAAATTATTCTCTAAACATGTATTTTCTGTGGCAGGTATGGATTGAAGGAAATCTTCCAAATGCTGATCAACAAGAACCATTTTCTTCAAGGAGGTTATTTTCTCTGCCATCTGCTGTTTCTTAATCTTCTGTGATGCTCTTATCGCTTTTGTGTCGAGTTTTCTCTTGGCTTCTTCAAGCCATGCAACTTTTCTCGATTTTCTCTTTATACACCGTTCAAAAGCAATATCAGTTGTAAGATCAATTATTACAATTTTATTGGATTTTTTAATCTTCTTTCGTGGAAGCACTTTTGGTTTTATTTGCTTAACAATAGTCCGTGCTACTGAAATATTTGTAGAAATCGTGCCTAAAGGTTTAACGTTTGTTTGTTCTGTTAAATTTGAGGATTTTAAATTATCTAAGGAAACTGAATTGTTTTGCACACTCTTATTTGAGGAAGTAAAATTGGATTTGTTTTTGATACAATCCATATTTTCATTTTCGCGTGATGTAACTTCCAGCTAAGAATACATAGAAGATTCATTATTCTCCTATATCAAAATAATTTTAACCTACTATTATCTTTACAAATCTCATATCAATGAAAATAAAATATATTTAATGTAAATATTTGTTTACATTTTATATTTCTTTTAAAAGTTATTGTTAGTCATGTTTTATATATTATTAACGATTACATATAAAATCTATTATGAGCAAAATAGAGATTTCTTGACAATTGCATAAACATGATTTCTCTTTCTTTCTCTCTCTTTCTCTCTCTCGCTTTTAATTATTTTACTTATATAAGTGAAATTTCATAATACTTGGAAATGTAAAATAATATTAAAACACACGATATACTTATAAGAATATAAAAATGATAGCAAAATATATATACCAGTTGTGAAGCAGTCCTTTTGAATGAATTTGGAATAGTAGTTGCATTTTCATTTTTTTTCTGCCATATACTATCTCTGTTTTTTATACAGAATTGTATAAAACATTCACAGCATTTTCTTATGTCAAATTTCTGCTGCATCAGATATTTTGTTGAATTTGGTTGATCCTTTGGCACTTTTGGTAATACATCTAACATGCACGGTGGGAAAGTTGATGATGTTCCCAAAGAGGCAATTGCGGTTGTAGTAATTTGACTTTTCACGGCCATATCGCTATTTATCTTTCTCCAGAGATAATAAATAAGGAAATAACGAGCGCACATAATATCTGAATTATTGGGACACGTTGGAATTTTATTAGTTACAATTCTGAAACCAAATAAAAACAAAACTTATAACCATACAAGAAATTTTATACATGTACACATCTTTATCGTGCAAATTGTCTAGATTCATTTCGTATTTATATTATTCACTTAAATAACATTAAAAATGAAAAGCTATTAATGAACAATTGTGTATAAATTGTAAAAAAAAATCATCGTATAATATAAAATATATTTTATAATTAAAATATATTTTATATAAAATATATTTTGGATTATAATTTCGACGTAATATATATATATATATATATATATATATATATATATATATATTGTATCAAATTTCAAATAGTAAGTTAAAAAATGATATAGACAAAATGACCTCAAATTTAAATTTTGTGTATTTACATATATTGTATATACTTACTTCATTATCGGATCTAAAATACGATGATAAGCCCGACACATAAACTGTATTTTTATCAAAGTATCTAACAAATGCTCGATAGAATGTTCTGAAAAAGAAATAAGAAATATAAAGAAATTGTATTATCAGTATTATTATCGACGGATTATACATATATAAGTAATGTTTATAATACATACCTAGATATACATAAAGACAAGAAATAAGTCTTGTACAAATTTTACTATGATCTTCTTTACTTTTTCTCGAAGCTTTTAATTCCATATCTATGTACAATGCCAATAAATCGGACATGTTATTTAAGTAAATAGTTCTATTACGGTCCTGGAAAAAATTAATTTTGTTCGTTTAAGTGAATAATATTATTAGAAAAAACTGTGTGTGTGTGTATGCGTGCGTGTATATATACAATAAAATAAAAATTATACAAACAATATAATAAAATTGAAGTTTTTAATTCCATATCCACACATAAATGCAAATAAGACAGATATATTATTTAAACAAATAAATTCTCTATTATGATTTTGGTAAAAAATTAGTTTTGTTTGTTTAAATATTACTATAAAAAACTGTGAACACACACACACACAAGAAAATAATATTTATATAAATGTAATATAATAAAATAACTTGTTGAACTTACCTCAGAAAGCTCGCGATAGATACATAAGAAGAAAAATAAAGTTTCACTAATAGAATCCTTCAACTTTGCTGCTTTTAAAGGCTTCGTGTAACATTCATTCACACTGATACTTACATTTCTGTAATGAAAGAATAAAAAATATATTTGAATTACAATAAAACGACGCTTAAACGCTAATAATACATATTAAATATATCTTATTGTTAATAGAGAATAAACAAATTCACACAAACATACACAAAATGTAAATATAGAGATGTAAATATATAAATATGTGTATGTATATATGTTAAAATCTATATAATTAATAATTTTCTAAATAAGAGTGTTAAAAATTATACGAATAAATATCAACTAAATATATAAATATCAAGTGATATTAGTATTCAAAATTGATCACATTTTTATAAAATTGAATTTAATCTGTTAAAATATAACGTTACTAATATATTAAAGTATTAGTTTTTATAAAAAGAGATACATATTAATGGGGGAGAGGGAGACAAGATATAATATTGATAATCTATTTTTGTACATTTGTTTAAATTATATTTAATTTAATCAGTAGATACGATTAAATATTTTTTTACATAGTTTTATATAACATTGCCTTGTAACATATAAGACAATATATCTTTTTGACCTTCAGACTGTTACAATCTGATTAAGTAATTGACAGGGTCAATGCAATAGCAGACCCTCGAGATCAGCTTAATAATACAGTGTAGAGGCAATGATGTGTGCAATGCACAATAACTAAAGCTTTTTAAGAGAGTTAAAAAGAAAGAAAATAACAATATAATTAAAGATAGAAATTATAGATTAAAAATGTTTCTTATGTTCATATATTGTAATTATATTTATATATTATAATATGTCATATAAATTTTAAATTACACGTATAGATATTCATTATTTTATATATTTTTATATATTTTAAAAATACATTAAACATTTAAAGTCATTAAGATTTCTATATATTTTTGTAATAAATTGTTAAATAATACATTTAGACGTATATAATTACCACTTTTAACATTGATTTCAATAAATTTAATTCGTAATTATTTCAATTATTGCAATTATTGTAACTGTCATAATTATTTATTAATATAATTTTTCCTTTATTTCTCCAAATTTTATTGGAGAATATTTATTGGAAAATATGATTGACAGAAATATGTTTGATATTTGAGAGACGCGATACTTTTACTTTATAATATTCATATAAACAAACAAAAAGATCGAGTAAATTAAAAAAATTTGAACAAATAGGTTTAAAAGTTTCCGAAAGTATTTCACTTAATAATTCAAATTTTATATAAAGTTTTTACACATTAATTACTTATATTTAAGCGAGGATATCGATAAACGAATATTAACACGCTGTGTACTAACACACATGTCATGCAATAGTATTCCGACACCAGTGCTCAAAGCAATAATACTGGTGAATCGCATACACATAGTATTACAGGAAATACCGAATGTAAATTACCTGATATAGTACTGCATAAGCTCTGCCAAAGAAGCCATATTTTTGTCCGCGTATATACATTTACACATTTTCCAAAACTCTGAGATCCATGGAAATAATTCTACAACTGTTGATTTGGCGTCGTCACTGTTTACTTTAGACCCTCCATTGTTAAACATTGCGTTTTTGATATCTAAACATCAATCAAGATGCGCGAATTTTTTAAATATATCTCTAGCCGCGTAAGATACAAAGAACAAACAACAATGACTAATTTTCACTAGAAACTACACAATGTATATTTGTATATCTATATGCGTATACACATACAAAGATATGGAATATCAATTAGTACAAGTTGTTGCGAATTTTCACGTTTTATCTCGATACGGTAAATTCCTTGACGGAATTTTATTCGAGAACAATAGTTTCGCCAATTAAAAAAATTTATCCAATTCATCCGATTTCGAGGCAATTATCACCGATTGATGCAAATCATATCATAGAGTCTCGCTTAAAAGTATCCAATAATAACGTGTAATATTCGAGTCCCTTTTTTTTTGCCGCACCGGTTCGTAAGAAGGAGAAAACGTTCTCACCGTTACAACTGTGTTAGATTCTCATACGATAATTCACGCACGTATTAAAAACTACTCGTCATTTTCTTACAACCCTGACCATTCTTAACATCTGCCGCGGCAGGTGCCGAGACCCATGCAGACTATAAATTGCCCAAAAGCCGGTTGTATATTTCTGTAACGTTCACACAGCTGAATGCCACATTTTCCGAGCCGTTTCACGATGTAGTTTCAGAGGGAGGGCGACAACAGAGGCAAATGTATCTTAAAGGCTCGAAATGCAACCGCAAACCGGACTTGTAAAGCGTTTCTTAAACTCGCGCACGTTGCCTTTGAAAATTTTCAATCAAAGCTACGTTAATTTCTTAGCATTCCGAGCACTTTTAACGCGAGTTACCGGAGTAATCGAGAGCCGATAAAGCAATATCGTCGTCGAGAAACGCCAACACGCCAATAGTAAATCCCGAGAATGTATCGATTGTCTTGAAACGACGAAGCGTCGAGCAAAATTGGTCGAATACCCTCCCATGTGCGTTCGCGACGTCCTCGTCGTAATTATTACATCAGGATCGAGGAAAGATCTAAGAAATAACGAAACGCGCGTGTCGTGGTTCGAAGCACGAGTCTCGAAAGTTCGCTCGAGGAACGAAAATGTACCGGGTCGTCCTCTCGCGCCCTACGCGAAGCACACTTTTATTTCGAGTCACGTCGTCGTCGTCGTCGTCGCCGGGAACTCGCACCGTTCATCGACTTTGTATCTCGCACACATACACGAACCAAGGAGTTTAATCACGAGCTCGTGAGCGGCCAAAGAGGGAGGGAGAGGGGGGAGGAAGAGAGAGAGAAGGGAGAGAGGGGGAGGGGAAGAAAGGCCACGCGGCTAACGCGTTGCTCTCGGGACGCGAGCCGAGTTCGTCGAGGTCGCGACAAGACGCGACCGATAGTTGAATGACAGATAAACGGCGAATCGATCGCGACGGCCTGCGCCCGGACGCGGAATTTCGCGTGGCCGACGTGCTCGTAAACACACGACGAACGAGGCTCTCTCACCGATCGTCCCGAGGATCGCCCGTCTCGTCCCGTCTAGTCGAGTCGAGTCGAGTCGAATCGAGTCGAGTCGAGTCGAGAAGGCGCGCGAGACGAGAGTACACGTTGCCGTTCGAGGGAATGATGCACCACGTACCTTGTATCGCGCCGACGTGCTCACCACCGTTCGCGGCTGCCGCTACCTCCGACGCGGCGCAGTTCATTTTGTACGATGCCGGGTACGTCCGTTATATCTGGGGGGAGGCGGGAAAGGAGGAGGGAGGGTGGTGTATTACGTAAAAGCGTCCCTCCTGGTCGTGGTATACCTCATGTTAGGGGGAATCGAACCGAGACTACTATCGCGTCCACGTCTTTACGCATACTGCGCTCACGTCAACGGCCATATTGACACTGACGTTTGGCGCAGCTACCGCGAGAGAGCGTGCTCCGCGCCCCACCGTCACCGCCGCTACCCCCACCACCGCCTCCACCACCACCGTCACCACCGCCGCCGCTACCCCACTATCGCTACCGGTCACCACCGACCGGCGCTTCGACTCTCTTCTTTTTTTTTTATCTCTATGCTTTTATTCGATTCTTATTTTATTTTTCTTTTGTATTTGTCATCCGGTATTCGTCACTTTTACTCCATTACGGCTCAAGCTTCACTTTCTCCCGGCTTTCGCGTTTCGCCACTCGTTTTCCCTTCGCTCGTCGTCCCGTTCACCGAGATGCCTACGATACGCGAGGGCATCGGACACCGTACTGTCGCGAGGACGTGCACGATGTTGCCGCAGCGCGGCAGCGGCTATCGATGTCGGAGGCGCATTCGAAACATCGAAACTTCGATACTCGTCGTCCTCTCTCCTTCTCTCTCCGTCTCTTTCTCCGACTGGCGGGCGCGAGCGCGCGTCTCATCCCTCGTTTCTCGTCAGTCTGTCCTCGTTCCTCTCACGGGGGGTTACTAGCGCCGTTGGCGCGGAGTTTCGGAAATGAATGGCTGATTCGTCGGCCGCCCAGGTAACCCGGCCAATGGAAGCGCGATGCACGCGCGATGCGCAAATCACGAAGCGAGGACACCGTTATCCCTACCTCGCGACGGGCCCAATCAGATACGAGCAATTAAGTAATTGCGGCGCACGGGGCACGCGCGCGGGCGCGCGCTAGACTACCATCTACTAGCTACGGCGATGCTACTCGAACCAACCCAATAGCCGCTCTCTCGCAATTTTCCAACGAATACCTGGATAGTCTCCGTTGAATAGGTATCGATACGCACTCCGGGAATATTAACATAGCCGCGAGACTCGTGAGGATTCGGACGAGCAGCGGAGCGACCATCGACTCGAGTGGAGTCAACGGACCGTGTTTTGAAATCGCGCGCTCTCGCATAATCGGGACGCGCAAGGTAAGTGCGCTCTTCCCCACCGCTTCCCCGTTGTACACCTGTCGATCGCGCGATAATCCGCGGTTTGGGAAAAGCGGAGGATGCGAAGGGATGGTGACCCTGCCTCCCGACCAAGAGACATTTTTCGTACGAAAAAGAAACGAAAGAAATCAGGTACGCTTTCGTCAAACGATCGGCCAAACGATCTCGTAATATAAAAAGAAAGAACCGTTAATTATTAAACCCGTGCGTTAAAATTGTATAATAAACGAAAGTTGAAACGATTTGAACACATTTATACTATTGCGATCTATACAAGTTTTATATGTAACATTATATACTCGTGTCACATTACATTTTTTTACGTAATAAATGAAAGTTGAATCGATTCGATCACATTTTTATATCGCAGTCTATCAAAAGTTTTATATAATCAAACTTATTATATATCAAACTTAATATATATGCAAAATAGATGGTAAAGTTGCGGAGAAGTTTTTTTTACCGCCGCAACTAATACCGGTTGATTAATTTGCAGGATTACCAACGTAAAAAAAATCCCAATTATCATCTATGGTGGAAATTTTCAAATTCTGTCGTTGGTCATTCTGCAAATTAATCAGCGATTAAGTTTAAATTGCGTTGGTAAAAATGGAGCGAAGCGGAAACGAGAGCGAGGTGCAAGTGTCGCGTTCAAGACGATCTTTAGCCGTTTCGAGCGTCTCGCGTAGTCGAATATCTCGCGCGAGAGCATCGAGTAAAACATCTGTGTTTTGACAGATGGAACGGGACTGCGCGTACGTACGTCGCATTTGGGAGGACACGATGCACGCATAGAATATTCACGTCGCACATTTCGGGCATAAGGTAAGTGCACGCTACTTTTCCCGCCAACGCTTGCCCGGCTTCACGAGTATCTCGAGAAGGAAGTATTTGCGTCGAATACCTGCAATTCGTGCAGTTTGTTGTCGGTATCATTGTCATCGTCCCCGTTGACTCGAGTATTCGAATGTTAAAAGACGCGTGACTTGCGAGGGAAAAAGGAATCGCGCGAATCGCGACAGCGGCTTGCACTTGCGCGCAGCTCTTCGTCGGCGTTCGATCGATATATTCGTTTTAATTTCGAGCTAAATAACTCTGCGAGCGCAAAACTCTCGATGCTTTATAAATTGTCAATATAATTGTAGATATAATTCTACAGATGGGCCTGCAACGGCTCTTAAATATGCGATTAAATTTCGATTGAAATTTGAAATTTTTAGCTGACTCACATCAACACGATTAACGCAAATGTAATTGGCAAAATTTCCTTTAAAACATTTTCCTTTTTTTTTTTAAAGGAATTTATTTCTCAATAAATATTTCTAAAATCTGATTTTATTATTTATATATTCTGCATTTATATCTTACAATTAGCAAAAAGATTTTATACGAAACTAACTTATAATATTAAAATATCTTTATTATTATTATTATTATTATTATTATTTTTATAAAATATTGTTTAAAAAATAATTACCTTTTTGAGAGATTTCTCATTTTTTTGAAAAGATTGAAAAATGAGATACCCTTATAAATACTTAATGTTGCACGTGTGTGTTTTGACTTTTGCTCATTTATTTATTGAGATCGCATTCAACGTAAATCAGAAAATGGGGGTCACGAAGGTATATTTGATACTAAACATACGCACACTCGGGACTATCTCTTGATAAAGTCAATGGGCGGAAACCTCATTTTCCAAAAGGTCAAATACATACTTTATTGTATATACGTCTCTTGATTCATTTCTTAATATATTATTCAAAGGTAAAGAAAATATCTGATTCTCATCTCGTATTTAGATTTTAAATACGTTTTCCATACTTCATAACTATCAAACGAATTTCTGGAATATATCCAAATGTCAAAGGTCGTGAAATGAGTACGCTTATGCGCGGAATGTGAAATATTGAAAAATCAAAGAAAGAGAGAGAAAGAGATACACGAATCTGCTGATATAATACACACGTGGAATCTTTGCATTCGCACATTGAATGCCACGCATTTTTACATCCAAACACGTCAATATTGGAACTTTTATGTAGCAGGGCGACTGTGAGGTGAGGGCGGCCGCTTTCCCTTTTTTTCACTCCCTCTATCTCTCTATAAGATGGACAGGATAATCGCAATGCCGCATCTCTCGTACATACCGCTTGTATAAAGAGCTGTGTTTACTTGGCGGGCAATGAGGGACAGGGGACTAACGTTCCTCGTTCCGGGCGTGTATGTCGAAAATATCGCACGAGAGCCATAAGCGTCTCAGACTATCCGCTTTAGGTTGTCGTTCATATTAAGCAGAACGCCGAGCTTTTCATCTCGGATGCGGAGCGATTCAGAAAAGTCGGTCGACGGAACGATATAATTGCAAGATGTAACTGCTTGCGTTATGTCAATAGGGTTCACGTGTAGCGTTCCTACTTTGCACGATAATTAGAGAGCATTAGTAACTTTAATTTCTCGAATGGATATGTAAATATGCGTGTATATGCACATTTTATGGCAAGTTCACGTCTAATCCTGTGCATTCTAAATAATCACAAGGTGAAAATATTTTTTAGAATTTCAAGGCAAATATTAAAAACGTGTGCTGTTAATGTTGTTTTATAATTGCGAGACGCGGAAACGATTACAATTATTTCCGGTATACACTTAGCGCGATATCATCATCACGCGAATTTTAGTAGTTTAATGGAAATTTAGTACAACAATCGTATTTTTTAATATAAATGTCAAACAGCAAATAATTTCTCATCAAACGTTTATCCCTTTTTATACAGTTTTTAATGATAATATCTAGACCATTTGCATAATAGCGTAATTAGAATAATCGATCGATGTAATTTAGCCGAGAGCTTTCGCACAAGTCTTCGTTTCATTTCAAAAAATGAACGTTTTACGATAAAATTTTAACCTACTTGCACGAAATAAAGTATTCCGGCGATCTTTCTAAAGACAATTACCAGGAGCAAATTTAGTCGTAGTTTCCGGGTGCACTGTAAATTAGCCACGACGAGAGTATACCGGCGTCGCATGTGACGTGCACAGTACACGTAATTTCCTCGTCGATTATGTTCCAGCAACATAACAGCGCTTCTGTCGGTTTCCTGCTCGCGCGCACGTTACGAAATCAGTACTTGAGCCGCCAAAGTCGAAGAAGGGCCGCCGGAAGCCCCGTGGAAAAGGGCCGGAAGTATCTCGCCGCCGGGAAGAGACCAGAGATCTACGACAGCGGTCAAAGGACCGTTTCCCTCTTCCTCCTCGACCTTTGCCCTTTCTCTCTCTCTCTCTCTCTCTCTCTCTCTCTCCTCCTCCTCCTCGTCGAGCTTGTTACTGGCAAACCATGTCGTGAAATATAGCACCACAAAGCGAAGTACAACTCTCTCGACCACACGCGCTCCGCTCGACAAGCACGTTCGTGGCGCTGCCCCCGAGCACCTCGTGTGTCATCAAACATCAACGACGTCGACAATCACGGCGACATCGACGACGACAACGATGGTCAACAACAGCGGCCATCGACTCCCACGCCAAATTTCATCAACCTTTCAAGGTTCCTAGGAAACGCGACGCATCTTACGAATGGCGCGCAAAGGGAAAGGTTGGTTCGCTGGAAATAGAAAGAGAAACAGGAATATTTATAGATTACTACTGGATCTAACAATTCCCTTCCTCCCTCCCCAAGAAACGTACGATTACAAATATATGTATAAAGCCCAAGTTCGAATTAGAATTAAAACGAGAGACATATGTCGCATTTGCATATATAAAAGTAGATAGATAGATGGATGGATAGATAGATGGATAGATGAATAGATAGGTAGATGAATGGATAGATAGATAGATGGATAGATACATAGATGGATAGATAGATAGATATATAGAGAGAGAGTGTGTGTGTGTGTGTGTTGAGGAGAGAAAGAGAGAGCGATATCCTGGTACGACGTCTGTCGTCGCGCCTGCGCTTTTCATCAAAAAGCTCGGCTCGTTCTCTCGGTCCTCGTCGGTCGTAGCCGTGATCCTCCGTTCCGCCGGTGTCGCCCACCTCGAGCTCAGTGAGCCGGTGTGTGAGCGCCGCGACGCCTAGAACAGCACTGTCGTCGTCGTACGTTGTCATCTTTAACGGCGTCGTCGTCATCATCGTCATCGTCGTTCCCGTCAGTGTGGATTTGGCGACGATTTCACGTTTTCCCCTTCGTCCTCGCCCTCGTTGTCGTCATCGTTGTCCTTGTCGTTGTCATCGTTGTGGTTCTTTTCGATCGAGCGCCGTCTGTTTGGTCGTTCTCGTCGCCGCCTGCGATCATCGTCATCATCGTTGTCATTGTCATCATTTTCACCGCTATCGGTGTATCACGGTGGTGCTGGCGCTATCCGGGAGGCACGCGACTACCTCGAGCGATTTTGTGCTCCCGCGACTCGCAGTCGGCGCGGGAAGAGAGAGACAGACGAGTGCGAGTACCCCTCGCCCCTCTCCTTTTACTCCATCTGTCCATCTGTCTCTCCTGCAATTTCTCTCTTTCTCCTCTAATTCGTCCTCTCTGTCTCTCCTTCCGTATGTGCACCCTCTCGCCCTCTGTTGTATCCCTTGCCGCTCTCTTTCTCTCTCTCTCTCTCTCTCTCTCTCGTTCTCCATCAAGCTCGTTGTTCGCGCAACGGCGCTAGGCTACTCGTATTAACGCCGTTTTTTGCTCGTTATCGTTGACTCATAGCTTGTGCTACGCGGATCCACGGTGCTCCTCGAGACAGATTTCGATTTCGACATCCCGCGAGTTTTCTCGTCCGCTCCGATCTCTCTCGGGAGACGACGACCGCGCAGCAGAAGCAAGTGGAACGGCGAATGAGAGCGCGAGGGATAGAGAAAAGAAGTAAGTCAGAGGGAGCGAGAAGAGAGAGAGAGAGAGAGAGACGCGCAGAAGAGGACGTGCAGACGCCGTGCCCGCAGGAGGACCTTCGAGGTGGACATTCGTGTAAGAAAATATACTCGCGTGTCGGTCCTTAAACTTTGCCTCGGGCGTGCATTCTCATGTATAGAGAGGGAACGGACGACGAGAAACGGGAGAGAGGAATCGGGACGCTTGTTACACGGACAGGGAGGGCGTTAGAGCGAGAGCGCGAGAAAGAGGAAGAGAGTGCGCGCGCGTGTGAGTGAGAGAGCGAGAGAGAGAGAGAGAGAGAGGAAGAAGGAGAAAGAGAAGGGACGAACGGGAGAGGTAGAGGGTGGCTGGGAGGGAAACGTATCCGACAGAGAAGATGCTCGAACGTGATGCTATGTACGACCGCGAGGGTTGTTCCGAACAACGACGGTAAACCGAATCATTTGATTCCTTTTGGATTGCGTGATGCGTATAAACGCGCAGAGCCCCGCTATTGCGTGTCGCTGCGAGCGCGCCTTGCGGTTGCACGACGGCGATCAACGCGTCGGCGGATGACAGCAACCCCCCCCGTGAGGGATGATACGTCACAGGCCGATACGTTGTCCCGATACGTCGAATCTCGGCACGCTCGCTCGCGAGAAATCATGTCGATGTCTGCATATAATCGTTCTTACGTATTTGTCACATTTGCTTGCACGCAACTGTTGGTGTATATTTGCTGTATATATATTTGAGATGATCGATGTATGCACGTTGGTGGTGTTATTGTCCGACGTCGAGTTGTATCATACCGATAATCCGTGCTCGCTTCACTGATTAACTGTCGTAAATTAATGAAAAAATTCAAGTATTGTACGTAGCCAAAATTTTCAACCTTGTCTTTACATAAAACATACCCCGACAGAATTATACTTTACGCGAGTTTTTTTTTTTAGGCATGGATGGAATAGTTAAACTCTTGGACTTGTTACTGTAATTTTGGCATTTAAATATCTCCTTTTCAAATTTATGATATTCACTTAATGAGTCTCATTCGCGTTCGTTCTCAAATGCTGCCGTATTTAATTCCAAGTTTTATGTATAACACGAAGACTGCATTCGATGTAACATCGTGGGATGAAAATCAGATAGTTTTAATATTAAATATATATACGATATGTGTGAATATGGACTGATGATGTAACATCTGTCCTTGATGTACTTTTATAATATAAATGCATGCGTTTATATGGATTTTATATGAAATGAATCAAGAGCCTTTATATTAAAACTGAGAAATAGATATACTTTCAAAGAAATAATATATAACATTTTGCATTATATAAAAGCAATTTACGGCACGCTTTAATTTATTTAAACTAGATACAGAGAGATAGGGAGAAAGAAAGAGCTGATAGAGAGAGATTAATAATGTATAATAAATATATTTTATATGTGTGTGTGTGAAAGTCATCCATAATCAAATAGAACTATGTGTCGCACCAATTTGTAAACTAGATGTTTCTTTATCTGTGTTCGCGAGTAATAAATAATAAAAATTTTCGCTACCCTTAGTATTATGTTGTTCTTTGATTTTATCGCAAGAAATATATAATAAAAATTTGCTTCAACCATGACCTGTTGAATGTTCATGAAGAAAATTTCCTATTATAATTCTCCAATAAGAGATACATTCTTTCTCAATAGAGATATTCGTAAAATTGCATCGCGCGAATAATGAAATGCATTACAAACAATAAAAAGTTGAATGAATGCGCATAAATTCCATGTGAAAAACGATCGGAGTGATACTATTAATTTCGCATTAAATGTTCTTCTTACTTGGCTTCGCATATATTCGCACAGAATGTCACTTTTACTACATTTAATAAATTCTTCTCTTTTTATTAACGAAATTTAACTCGCTGTATTTTTGCCTCTGCAATCTTTTCCTATTGTTCTCAATCTTTTTAGAATGCTCTATCAAAAATAAGCATCAATCTGTTTTTTAACACAGTATATGTTAACATTGAATATGTGTATTAGTATATGGTGATACATACATGATTATCGTTCATTTCCCAAATGTTGTCTATCTAATACGTACAAATAAATGATTGAAAATAAATTATTAATATGTGTATCTCTTCCCAGAAAAAAAATAATAACTAAAAAAAATAATAATCATTTATTTGTACGTATTCAAAAATTAGAGTAAATGGTAAAAATGGTAAGTTTTTCAACACCATGCTTTATATCGGTCCATTAACGCTTAAAAACTGATAATATATCAGCTATTTATAAATTCAGATATGCATTTTATTCGCGCTTTAAAACGCTTCGTATTGATTGAGCCAAAAAGAATAATTGTTTACGTTAAAAGTTTATATTGCAGTTGATGTATAGATTCAACTTTATAAACTGTAGTAAATCATAAAGAGAGCAGACAATTTCAATGATAAAAGTGTTTTTTTTAAATAGATGTTTATATCGCATAGACAAAAATAGAATATTGATACGAATGACAGTGTCATTTACAAGAAATCTCAAAGTCTTCATAAATGATGACGACTCGGTCTCTCTCTTGTGACTTTAAATTTTACATAAAGCGTTACATTAACAAAGAAATGCCAAATGCAAATTTGGAGATGAAACAAAAAGAAATATATGACAAGTAGACAAGGATTGTAAAACTCGCAGAAAAATCATGCCATGCTATGTGAAAACATTCTCGTGTGATAAGCTTTCTAAAAACTACTGACGAGAGATAAACCAGACGTAACATCTGCAAAATGGCATCTCGAATGTAACGCATCATGTAACCGGATATAATTTCGTGGCGAACCCTCGACTCTGATTTATCAGGGCGTTTTACACGACGTCGGGCGAGAAAAGCTGATCATTTTCGGCGCGGATTCAGATACCTCTCGTTGCGAAACGGAACGCTTTTAATGGTCCTTACACCGTAAAATAGGAAGCTGATACCAGCGCGATATCAGCGTTATCGCGTAATATGAATTTATACGACGATGCCTTTCTATTACGACCGGCAATGGTGGCGGTGGCGGTGACGATGGCGATGGCGGTGGCGGTGGCATGGCGATGGCGATGGCGATGGCGATGGCGGCGGCGGCGGTGGCGTAATATTACCAAGTCACCCCGTTGTAATGTATAGTCGCATATACGCGCGGCTCTCTCTCTCCGCGGCCCATAAAGCGAATAATATAGCTCGCACGCGAAATGAAATATTTCAATTGCGGGACTCGCGTTAATTGTGCGCGCGAGCGCGTCGTTTCAATTATCCTAATGAATTACGGGAATTTCGACGCACGCGCGGATCTCGGATCTGCGCTCGGTCTTCGATTCACCGATCCGGATATGACGGATCCGAAAGGACGCGCCGGGAATACATATAATGAATATGTAAATATTCAACGGTGAGCGCGCGGCACGTTGGCGCTTGTAAATAGCGGAATAGCGTGTAACAGGTGGTGCGCTCTCCGTATCGCCCTTAACAATGACGTTACAGACCGACTCCGCCGCGATGATGTAACACCGCGGAGTGGCTACGGGGCCTTCGGGGGCCTCGCAACGACGTACATCCATCGAGTTCCTCACGCTTTATAGCCGGTGTTCACGAACACCGAACAACGTACATCCGTTTCTTTGTTCGTTCATATACACGATGTACGTATGTACACACACGCACGTGCACTCGCGTATACGTGTGTACGAGGTGTACATTCGGGGCCCTGCGGGCGCGGAACGTGTATACGAAGCGGCAGTAAAAGTTAACGGCGCATTCCTACGATCGCACGCCATCGCGCAATAAAAATTTTACGCGCGCCATAAATAATTATAACAAATACGCGTATCGTTTCTTCTCTTCGATTGTTCGTCCGGAGTCTGAATTTTCGGGCTATCGTTTCAATCACTCGTTAGAACCTCGTGCTCCGCTCGTTTTTACCTCGTCCTTATATAGAAATCTTTCCGGATCCTCCTATGTAAGAGTTACGCGTAAAGCTCCATGCAGAGAAAAAAAATAAGTGTCAAATCAAAACTTATATACTTAAACTAACGCGTTCATTGTTTCGTATATACGCAACAATTTATAATCTTCTTAGAAGAATTTAATAATTTTAAATTTCAACAATATTATATAGTCTTATTTTATTTTAATATTGTAATTGTCATCTCAAGAATATATAATTATTTAATTCTACTTTAAAAAAATTATAATCTTTCATTTCAAAATGTTATTTTCTATCTAACATTGTTTCTTTTCTATTCAAGAAAATTAAATCTTAAATCATAAGAATTTTTCTCGATTGAACTATATAAAATGGCTTCATTCAAGTAAGCAATTATTCAAGCAATTATATTTTTCTTTAATTAATGCAATATAATCTCATTTCAAGATTTCCATGTTAAAACTAAATATATTTTCAAAACAAGAATGTCCTTTTTTCTGTGTGTTATTTCGAACGGCATATAAAATGCGCAAACTCGCGCTTTGCGCAACTCGTGCGGCTCGCGTATATAAGGTTTCCTTTAAAGGAATTTATTAATGCAAACTAAAAGTTGCGTGGAAGCGTAATTAAAACGAGGACGAGAGAGGGCAATAATCAAATATACAAGCGCAAGTGTATATAATTTTAGGGAGAGAGAGAGAGAGCGAAATTTCCTTCATTATTTACTAAAATTATAAAGTTTTCCTAACGATATATAAACTCGTATTGTTCCACCCATACATACCTTGGGGAGAAGAGATTTACGTTACTTTGAAATTATAATTTTCGACGAATGGAAAGGGATGAAAAGAAAGCAATACGAGGATACTAAAACCGGAGTGCGCGATGCAAAAGTTACACATCGGGCAGAGCGCATTATTTAAAACTGCACTAGCAACGAAATGTCATTAACATGAATTATGTGATGTTCGTTAGGACTGAAATTCCTATTAAAGAATGAAAAATAAGAGTAAAATAAAGTTGTACAAATTATTAATTTTTTTAAAGGGACGTATTCTCGTTTCGTTTTTTTAAAAAAAAAGTTCATTATATATACAAAAAACACGAATAAATTCGTATTATTTGCATTATTATTCGTACTACTACTCTTCGTATTTTTAGGCTCGCTTTATTACGTCACTGCAATGAACCTCGCATAATTCGCTATCGAATCTCTGTTGACCTTCGGCGTTTCACGTTTCCAACGATGAAATGATCGGCGGCACGTGATATGACGTGGCGATCCATATCTTTATGCCGTTCCGACATGCATTGTGTGAAAGGCGTGATCTTTTGCAGGACTCGCATCCCGCAGGCTGCTGTAGACTGCAATGTAATCGTCCCTCGAGCTCGCCCTCGACATTCCCATCATCGGCGCATCGTGACTACGTCTCGTCGTCCGCGCTGCAAGATGAACCAACGATTTCCGGGGAAGCATGTAACGCGTTCGGCAACGAGATGAAAAGTCGCGCGGTGTCATCATCCGAAAAATTCGAGATCGATTCGCGTCGCGTCAGGTAAAGCTCGACAGTGGTGATATGCGGCCAGGTAATCATGATAATCGGACGTGTTTTTATCGCAATGCTGACGAAACAGTCGAGGAACGTACACGAAACGCACGTGTGATCGTGCATCGAATTGACCAGCTGCTTGGACCTCCCCTCCCACGTGTGCGAGCATAGACGGCATTCTCCTTCGAGGAGCGGATCATTCTCCAGTAACCGGTGAGTACCTGCTACTCATTATCAAGTGCCCTTTGTCAGTGGCATTTGCGGCTAAACGGATCTATCGAAGGCTTCATTGTGAAAGACATTTTCCTTACGAAACAATTACAATTGTGTGTTTTGTGTGTTGACTAATTGAAATAATTTTATTTAATTTTGATTAATGAGCAATTATTGTCTTATGATTGCACGTAAATAATTATTTTTTGTTTATAGAATCATCTTAATTATATATGTATAAAAGATTATTTAGTACATTATTTTTCGAGGCTATGTAATCGATATTATTTAAATATAAGTGGAATTAATAATTATTAAAAACATAAAAAACAATGCATATAAGAATATTTACCAAATTTTTTAAATAAGTATATATTTTTTGTATATATAAATATAGTTGTTTCAGTATAGGCAATTCTTTTTAGACGCAGTTCTATCTAACTTACAAAATAAAATGTTTTTGAACTTAGATTTTTCATCCAATTTTTCGGAAATTGAAAATAAAATTATTTCCTTTATTCATATTTTCGCGAAATTTCTAAGATATTATGAATTGTTCAATGTAAAATATACAGATACTAAAAGATCCAGCAATTTCTCTTATGCGCTAAATATATAATAAATGTATAAATAATAAAAGTATATGTAATGTATCATTTTATACATCACGATTTTGACATCTCGTTATGTCGCGTGTTGTAAAGACAACAAGATTAAATCGAATTGATGAGCAAGCCCTGGAATTTGTATACGTGTCTCACACATTTTATCGTGGTAAAACAACATTTGTTTCCGTTTATATAGCATCGGATTATTTACTCGTTCAATCATCGAGGGAGAGTTTGTTCTCTCTTATGAAATATGGAATGTTACTTTTATCGATGGAGGTGGCCGAAAGTGCGGATGCGATCGTTGATCGCAACGAATTATTGCGATGACAATTTGATATGCTCGCAGGGTTTCGTGAGACGCCAACATAATACCGAGTGTAACGCACGTTAAACGCGGCTGCGTGTTGCGTATATCTTTACGCAAGGAAGAGGCGCAACAAATGGAGGTACCGTAACGTTCTCTCGAAGCAGTAAGTCGTAATCGCTATATGGTGGTGCGCTATTACTTCTCAACGGCCGGGCCGTTAATTGCGAGGTAGTATTCAAAGTAATTCTCGGGCCTCGATCCAAGAATGCGGCCTAATTGACTTGTAAGTGTTCGATCTGCGGCTTATTGCAGTCGGAATAAGCATAATTCTGTCTCCGAGAAGCCGATATTATCGGAGCATTCACGAGAGCATCGGATTCTTGCTAGACCATGCACTCAGAGAAACATGAGAAATCTTTTGAATTATCTCAAAATTGTCGCAATTATTTTGTCATCACTGTTTCATAATATGTAATGTAAAAGTTTTGCCATATACAATTGTTGTGAGATTAAGTGAAAGTATGTTTTTTCCTTACGTGCGAATAAAATTCATAAATGCGGAAAGACAATTTCTTATTAAATCTTGAAAAGCTATCTCGAATAATTGTTAGCGGCGAGACGCGATGTATACTTTCCGACTACCATTTTGCTACTGATATTCAATTCCAGCAAAGACCGTGTGCGAGAAAGCATAATTAACGCCGTCGGATTGCAAATTCACTCTACTATAAATATTTGCATCTCGGAACTCTGCGCATAAAGCTTGCATACATTTGAATATATCTTCTTTCCGCGGAGATTCCGCGGGCAAAGCGCGCATATCGGCGATACGACTCTAACATCGAGCTCGGGGTTTATTTCAATCTCGGTAATTCGTGACGTTGATCTTCTTGGATCTACAAAATTAAAGTGAATCGACGAAGAGCGGTGGGCCCGAAGAAAAGGGGAATGAAAATGAAGCAATAATTCTCGAATATTTTTAAATTTCGAAAACAGTATAAGCCATGAATCTCATTAAAACGTATAGAGCGAATTATGAATGTGGTATGTAAAAAAGGGAATAATTTAGAATTAAAAATAGATAATTTTACTGTATATTTATACTGTACTTTACATTTTTTCTCCATCTTCTTTATTTAATTTTTTTCCAATTCTATCCAATGGACGATACACGACTTCACTGAAGAGAAAAATAATTTCTTAAAAAATGTTTTAAATGCCTACATACATTTGTATGTATCATATACATGATATTTTATTCCTTATATTCATATCTGGAGGAAATTTTCAATTTGTGTCCCGTGTTTTTAGTAAACCTATCTATATATAATAATCTCTAATTTATAGATTGTTAAATTGAGTTGTAATTTAACATTCGCGTCTCTTTCTCTCTCTCTCTCTCTCTCGCCATTTTCGAAATAAATGGTCCATTTAATTCCTGTAATTTCTGTAATTGTCGTAATTTTCCAATGGACCGCACCGTGATTCGATTATCGACATAACGAATTTTCTCGCGAATCGACTTTAATCCTTGGTGGCACAGTGCAATTTCTAGAAACGATTTGACATTTAAATATCTTGTTTTATCTTGACAATAGCAATTTTGCGTAATTATCAACTTTCGTCAGTTTTAACGTTATATAAATATTTGCGGAATAACTTTCGACCACTTAAACTGCAAACGTAATCTCAAACGTTTACTAACCCTAATTCTTTTCATTGCAAAAATAGTATCGATAAACGATATAAAAGAACGAGCAATAATATAAGAGATTTTACCTCGAACACCCCCATCATAATTTATCAGATCGACACTGATATGATTTCACTATAAGATTGCATGTAGATTCTACCGACGAGTATAGGATACGAAAACGAAATTCCGCTTTCTCGTAACGCAAACACGACAATTGGCATAAGGTACATTTTTCCGCATCCGTAGCGCCGGAGGAGATTGAACTCGAAATAACAACAATTTCAATACTTGCGCTTTTATAGCACGCACGAATAAAACGATTCACAAAGCGTAGAGAGGATAGAGCCGAAGCGAAGAATCGAAGCGAAGCCTCCGAGCAAACGCAAGCTCGGGATGAGAGAGCGGAGTCAATGAACTTCTCCTCGTGCGTTTACGTAACCCCGGCCCGTGTGTAAACATATCGATCTTCCCGTGGGAGCACGAGCGCATTGTACCTTTATTTCGTCGCAGAATCGCTGAGCGGCGAACCTACTTAGAAACTACAGGGTCGAATCGGTGCTCGTCCTTGGCCCTTTGTCGAATCAATTTTCGCGCGCGTACGTCGTCACACGTTCCAATTCGCGCGTTCCGCTGATATATATCACAGTTGTCTAAATAGTTTTAATATATCCGCCATCTCCAGTGCTCGCGCAACGGGAATGTTTTTTTTTACTCGCGCTAGAAATTGGATCGCGCGCGAAAAATGTCGCGAGAAACGCGAGAAAACGAGGATACATATTTTTCCTACATTTGACGTTTCTTGTTTCGCGCGATTGTTACACAACTTCAATTCAGTTAATCTGCGTCCATCCAGTTAACCTATCGACGGTGGCGCTTCGTCCGAAACATTTTTCAATGACAATTATGTAAGTAATATAATACCTTTTGCAAGAGTAAGACAGAATAGACCGGGTCAAGCGGTAAATCGATTTTTATTTATTCGGATATGAACTACATGCAATAAATACTAAGGAACGGAGTTAGAGAGCCTTTTCTACAAACATATATTTTTTTCGCTTGCCCAGTGTGCGAGATGTTCTTATATATAAGGCAATAATAAAAGTATCTTAATTTTTTCATTAGAATGTCTCGTATGTTAATTTTAATCATTTTTCCTAGAAATATATTCTCATTTTACTCGAGTAAGACCTCACGCTCGAGATCGCTCGAGATCGCTCGTTTTCGCGACCTTTCGGACCGGTTTGCACGCATCGTCGCGTTCCAATTCCAGCGTTCCGCGCTCCAATCGCGGACGCTCAGCAGCATACGTCACAGTTGATTAAATATTCTCGTGCAATCGCGCGCGTAGCACGCAGAACGGGGATGTTTTTTTATCCGCGTGAGGAATTCTCTTTCACGGTCACGTGCGAAAAACATCGCGAGAGACGCGTTAAAATGCGAATAAAATGCTTCTCCCGCATATCTGGTGTTTCTTGTGTCTTATCGCGCGAGTCAAGGTTTCACATCCTACGCATCCAACCTAACCTTATCGATGTTGGCGTTTCGCATCACAGCAAGCGACAAATAACACATCGGTTTTGATTAATTCAGGTATGAATATAAAGTAATAAACATAAGTAATATAAAAATCTGAAAAAAAATAGAGCTATTTTTGTACAAATTATTAGTTTTTAGTAAATTTGAAGTTTTTTAGCTCTGTCAAAATTATAAGCAGATTTAATATGAGTTTTTAATAAATATCTAAATTTTGAAGTTTTTTAGCTTTGTCAAATCTATAAATAGATTCAACAAAAACAAAACTTTAAGTTTTTATATTATAGCTCTATTTATTACTTTTCTTTTTCTCTCTCTTTCTCTCTCTCTCTCTCTATCTGTTCTATCTTAATTCTTTCAGTAGAATGTTCCACGCGCGAATACCAATAATTTTTCATAAAAGATATATCATCTCATTTCCTTTGTACAAAACTCGGCCAAGTATCAACTTGTACTCTTGGCGCGTACAAGGAGTTTATTCCCAAGGCGTCTTAAATCTATATTTTAAAGAATGGATCTTATGCATGATAAAACTTTTCATAGCGAACATTTGAAAAAATTAACAACCGCAATGCTGGGAGAATTACTCACCGAATTCGAAATCGAACGTAGATTTCTACGGTAGCACGTGCCAACTTGACTGACAGTTGTGCTGCGTTTCCGGTGCGTAGCCTCTCTCTCGATTCGTCGTTGTTGACACTGCCTCACAAAAAAAAATAAACGAACTTGTCAGAAACCTTACGACAGCCCGGTTCTTTGAACATCACTCACTAATGTCCGTCATTTTGTCATGTTATCTCATGTTATCTCATGTTTATCTCATGTCATGCACGTGGATAGTAGAATATTGTTA